TTTGTTTGTTTTTTACCTAGGCTGAGGGAAAGTCTTGTCTAAGGTAATGCCATTTCAGAATGTGTAAGAGCCTTCGGGAAAAAAGAAGTAAATTACTATAAAAGAAATATTTTCTTCAAACCTGGCCTGGGACAAACATTATTTCTGGATATAACTAATAATCTCCTATTTTTGAATACATTAAAACTCTGAAAAAATGTTTAGCAATTTTCAATAACTGGTTAATTATTTATGGGATTACTCATTGTCTTGGGAAACCAATCACCCAAGAGGCTGGCGATCTTTAAACACACACACACACACACACACACACACACTTTTTTGTGTGTGTAATCTGAATTTTCTATAAATGTATTTAGTAGAAAAGAAATCTTTACATTGACCTACATAGCAAGATTATAATAACACTTGGACACATGCTCATAGCTAAGTTGTCTGAAAAGCTGTTGTTATTCTTTCAGCAATTCCTTCTAGGTTCCACAGTTAGCATCATGTCATAGAGAGAAGAATTAAATGGGGGCAGTAGACATGGTAAACAAGGATGCCAACGAATATAAGCAAGGTTCAGATTGAGCAAGGAATTTTTGTCCTTCAATATTTGAATCTTATTCATAAAAACAAAATAGAAAAAAGATGAGGGAGGTGATCGCATTTACACTTTATAAAGCTGTCTTTCCATAGCAGTGCTATCCAATAGGAAGAGAAATAGCGAGTCACAAATATGAGCAACACATTTAGTTATAAATATTCTAGTAGCCACATTAAAAAAGTGAAAAGAGACAGGTCATTTAATTTTAATACTATAGTTAATATAACCCACTATTTTCATTTTAATATGTAATCAATATGAAATTATTTATTCAGTTGTTCATCAACTTCAACTCTATCATGCGAATCCAGAAATTAAGGTGAAGTATTAAATAAAAGGTTTATTTATATATTTCTTGCAATTTTATGGAAAACAACTTGAGAAGTTTTATTTTCCTCTAATAAGATTCTGATTCAGAATGTGATATGCTAAATTTCTATTAATACATTTACTTACTTATGAACTCATGGGTAACTAAGAGATAATGTATACTTCTGTGGAGAAGAGATTTCCTATGATTACTCATTTAAATCATTTTCACTGAACAAAAAATACTTAATTCAATAACATAATATTTTACCTATTAGTTGATAATACCTCCAAAAAGAAAAACACAATTGAATTTTCTTTTTAAACATCCTAACTGAGCAAAGCATAGAATTAGACATTATTTAAGGTTGCTTATTTCTTATAAAAAAATTATATGTGGAAATCCAATAGAATAAAATAAAAGTATTTAAATTTCTCCAAATTCCAACACAATTCTCTGCGATTGTAGATTCAACCAGTGTCTGAAAACATATCCTGTAGCTACTCTTCAGTGGACTTCTCACTGGTCACCCTATAGTAGAGACTTAGATACCCAAGAAGAAGCGACAGACAGAGATGCAATAGCACTAACTATAAGTTCCTGTGTCTCAATGCTTCTGATGTCTAAGAAAGCTGCCTGGCACCTATTAGGTAGATAATAAATTTTTGTTGAAAATAATCATAGCCAACACTTACAGAGCACTTAAGCTGTACCACTTGTCTGAGTGTTTTACATATTTTAAAACATTCCACCCTAAAGACAGTATTTTCGACAGTATTTTCGACCCATGGGTGAGCAGCTGAGGATGTAGAGGGCCAACTGTATGCACTGTTTTATGCCATATATATAATAGAGGAATATGCAAATTATCTGGGAGGGCATCACATCATGACTGATCACAGGGTGGGCGGGGCTGCGGGGCTGCAGGGTGGGACTCCAGGTCTAGTGCAATTTTTGTCCTGCCCAGGCAGACTCCCCAGCAGCCCCTCAGCTGTATCCTGACGCTGACTCGGGGTTTACTAAACTTTACTGGAGCTGCTCCCCACACCCCCACCCCCTGCCCCAGGACCGCACTGCCCGCAGCAGGGCACCCAGGCCGCTTCCTGACAGGTGGGCGGCTGGGGAGAACCGAGTGGGGCAGGGGCTGCAGGGAGCCACAGAGGGGCGGCAGCCGGAGCCAAGTCCCTGGGAATCTGAGAAGAGCGCCTGACAGGAGCCCGGACTGCAAAGAAGGAAGTGGAAGCGGCCACGGGGAGCTCTTCCAATCTCCCTGCATGGACACCCTACCCCAGCCCTGAACCCCCAGGGGGACGGGGAGGCTGATTGATGGGGAGAAGAACCAGCCTCGGGGGTAGCCACAGCCCACACCTCCTCTGGGGGCGGGCACACCTCTCCTCCCTACAAATCCAGACCCGGGTGGAGGCAGGCCCGTGTGGCACCCCAGGGTCAGAGCCATCCCCCCCCCCCCGCCGCCCCAATAGCAGCGGTGCCATCTCTGCAGTGGAAGCACACTGAACCTCACCTGGGGCCGTGGCCAAACAGACCCTCCTAGCCCACCTGGCCCCACCCTGACCCAGCTCCCACCCTGCTCCAGGAGATTGGAGCCCTGCCCTGAGCCACATACAATTTAAATAATGGCGCCAAGCAGAGAGGTTTGACAGTTACTCCCCCTTCAGCCTTGCCACCTCCTTAGCTCCCCCCCAGCCAGCACCTCCAGGGATGACCACCGCTACAGGGCTGCTGGCCAGAGCCTGCCCCTCCAAGGCCTACGGAACCCTCTGCAAAGCTTCCATAGCTACAGTCCCAGGAAACAATCATGCCCTCCTCCCCTAATCAGCACCTGCTACCTGTGAGGGTACCCGTGGGCTTAAAAATAACAATCCTTTCCTATTTAGACATCACTTACTTGATGAAACATTTCTAGGTTTATTAGCTCAGAACCTCCTCATAACAACCCAGTGAGGTAGGCGGAGAAGAGATTACAATCCCCATGGTATATGCGTTTGTATTCAGAAATGAAGCTCAGAAAGGAAATGTGTCAAGCCCAGTGGTTACCAAGGTGCAGCACATGCCCCACAGGGGGGGGCAATTAGATTTTAAGTGGAGGCAATTCTAGAATGAGTTAACAGTGAATTTTTTGCATTTCTTATGGTCCTAGGGGGCCTCATCTATAGCATATCCTACATAATAAAAGGCTAATATGCAAATGACTGAATGGTGGAATGACCAGTCACTATGATGCACACTGACCACCAAGGGGCAGACACTCAACGCAGGAGCTGCCTCTGGTGGTCAGTGTGCTTCCACAGGGGGAGCTCCACTCAGCCAGAAGCCGAGCACAGTGACAGTGGTGGGAGCCTCTCCCACCTCTGTGGCAATGCTAAGGATGTCTGACTGATGGCTTAGTGGGCCTAAGCCGTCAGTCGGACATCCCCCCAGGGCTCCTGGACTGGGAGAGGGTGAAGGCCAGGCTAAGGGACTCCCCCCAAGTGCACAAATTTCATGCACCGGGCCTCTAGTTTTATATAAGGGACTTGGGCAACAGCAGATTTTAGTACGGGGGTCCTGGAACCAATCCCCCACAGACACAAAGGACTAAAGAACTTATATGCATATATGCATAGCCCATGAACACAGACAATAGTGTGGTGAAGGCCTGGAGTGGAGCAGGAGCCAGGTGGAGGGGGGAAAGGGGGAATAATTGGAAACATCTGTAATTCTCTCAACAATAAAAATAAATTTTAAAAAATTATATGCAGAATTACCACTGCATGGGGTCAGTACCCATAACCACCTAGATGTTTAAGGTCAACTGTATTTACAAACTGAATCCTCATAAAGGCTATGAGGTTCTTTCTATGGAGTATGCAAACTAAAAATTCACACGCATCCCTCTTGATGTCATATTACTAGTGCACATGATATTTCAAAGCTTGATACTTCTTGGTGCATAATTATTCAAATTTTCTCCATATACAAACACTACACCTGTTGTCAATAAATAATTCCACTTTAATGGTAAAGTAATAATTTAGACAGATACAGGGTGCACATTTGCAAAAAAATATATGCAAGCTGGTTTACAAGCTAAAGGAACAATAAACCAATAGAAAATACATCATCCAGTTAAGTCCATTGACACTAAGTACTTATTGTTGGGGCTTTACAAAGACTACAAAACTTTTCAGATGATTTATTTCACTGTTTCTGCCTATTTACATGATATGTTACATCAAAAATGTACAAAATATAAAATGTATACAGACAAATGCTTCACAAACTAGTTTAAGTTGTAAACTAGGTGGACCTACTGGGATGTATTGCAGGAATTTGTTTATGATCATGTTTGGACTGTGTTTCTCAAAATGGCAGGGAAAGATTAGCAATTTCCTTAGGTCACGTATGATACGAGGGTAACTAGTCACTCATCCAGCTACATATATCGATGTTTCACAACGGATTTGATCCACGTTTGGGGTTTCAACGTCAGGGTGACAACTCTCTGTGCACAAATGCAGCTCCGATTTCCCTTAGGGCAATAGCACCGTGTGGAACCTACAGATTCGGTGACACTCTGAAAATTGCACAGACGGCTACTGTTGTTATTGTTCTAGAGCAACTGACCCACGGTGGTCGCAGAGAGTAGCACCAATTACACGTCCTGAAAGAAACACAGTTTCACACGCACAGAACAAGACTACGCCATGGCCGAGCCCTCGGGCCTGATAGACTTAACACCTGTGCGCAGTGGTAACTTCTGCGGTGACTCCAGTCCGCTTTCACGCACTCTCTGTAAAGCCTGCCATGACAGATGCACTGTGGGGCATTTTCACTTTTCCAAAAATGCACTGGCTTCATGTACAGTTTCGAAGCATGCTCACTCTAGCACTGACAGCTCCTGCATAGTCATAACAACTGTAAATACAGGACAAACACACCAGGTAATAACAGCTTTGAGGGTTTGCATTCTGTTATTTGTTTGCAACGTACAGGAATTCTCAGTAAGTGAAACACCTCTTAACACCAACAGGATAAAATACAATTTTTTGTGTGTGTTCGCTTTGATTTGTGCAAGTTTTAAAAATTATTATTTACAATACCTACCCAGTAGACTGTGCAAATCTAACCTTTTACAGTATCCACGCCTCCTCTGCCACAGTGATGTCACTGCTCAGTGTTCTAGAATGCCGACTTTCTCATGTACACCAATAGCAATCGAAACAACATGCTGAAAAAACTAATAATAATAATAATAATAAAGAACAGGGGGGGAAGCCAAATAGTTGTGCTCATGCTGTGTCTAGTGCTTCCAGCTCTGCTGGGAAGGAATTCAAAATCTCCCGCCTCCGGAAACTCTCTCACCTGGAACCGGATGGAATTTAGCCACATGTCTTAGCTTTTAAGTGATGGTTGGAGAGGGTCTCTGGGTTACATGATACTTGAGGATAGGCAAAGCAATCTAGTCACAAGGAAAAAATACTGATCTTTCTCCTATCCATTTCTTAGAAAAACAAAGAGCTCTAGAGATGAGGCTACTGTGTTAACCGCTGTTGCTTGGTTGCAAATGAAAGACAGTGGGAATTACCAATGGTTTAGGACTTAAACTGTTGTAGAAATCTGTTTTAAGGCAGCGAGACAGCACCATAGGAAATGTTCCTTCTTTCACTGAAAAGGCTCAAACAAATAAAGCCCTAAGCAAGCCTTTTGTCAGTGTTGACGAATAACTGGTATAAAACTCTTGTTAAGGGGGTGGGCAGGTGGCTTAAAAAGACCCCAGTGGTAAAAACAACCTTATAAAACCGGTGACTCAGATACTGACAGTTGGTGGAGCACGTCACGAGGACATGAGCTCAGGAATTAGTTGGCACCTCTCCAGCTGGGCCACGGTAGTGCTTTTCTGGTGGTTGCACAATTCCGTTTGTGCTTACGGGGGACTGGCCTCTCGGCCTGGTTTTGGAATGGGGTGAGCGCACAACACACACACACTACTGGAGCCCTGTGACCAGCACCATGTGGCATGAAGGAGGCTGGATGGGTCAGAAGAACGAACCCTGCTTGGGGAGGACCGTTTGCCAGAGGAAACGAAATGAAGGGACAAAAAAAGGTCTGTATTGTAAACGTTTAAAGAGGAAAAACACTAAGTCCAGTTTGGCTATCCCATGTGCAATCTATTCAGTTGCCCTATCGTTAGGGTCCCTTCCAGTTGAGTAAGGGAGTCTTACATCACTCCACAGATATAAAAAGGCCTAGAAATAAAAGAAGGTGAAGCTTCCATTTCAATTTAGCATCTTGGCGGTTCAGACTTAGTTCTGCTGCCTCCTTGGAGACCATGACTCTGGGGCAGGACCCTTGGTAGGTGCTTTCATACTGGCAGTGGTTTTAGTGAAAATACCTTACTTTTTAAACATGTTTAAAAAGCATAGTCTTTCCCCGCAACTTTTTTCAGAGGGTAGATTCAAGAGCCGAATCCAAATTGTCTTCATGGTGGCTGGTGCTATCGCTGTCGAAGCTTTGTGTACCGGAGTAATTGGCTGCTTCTTGGAGTTTCATTAGCATATTCATCTGAAGAAAAGAAAAAGAGACATCGGATGCAGGCAATGATGCATTGAGGAAGCCAGCCCCATAAAATATGAGGCCCCGAGCCATACAGAGGAACTGTCTCATCCCACCCAAGTGGAACGGGAAAACAATTTTAGATTTACTCGTTGCCCCTGGCTCCTACACTATCTCTCCCAAATATGACTACAACACCAAACCGTAAGGACAAAATAAAGCCTCGAGATCACTCTTTTATTCGGGGTTGTGAATGAATCCTGCTCCAGCAGGGAGGCTGGGAAGGAAACTGTATCACAGCTGGACATCTGGGCTCATGGCTGGAGAGCGTGCCAAGCTTCCCAGCTTTTTGGCTGGGAGAAGCAGAAAGCACTGAATGGCAACTGAAAGTCGTGAGTGCTCCTACACACACAGACGCACACGCAGGCAGGCTCGCACACGTGGTCCCGAGAGAAGGAGGGGGTGGCGTGGAGTGGAGCCAGCTGCTGCACGCAGCACACCATCTGCTGCAGAGGACTGGCCTCCCGAGGAGGTGACTGAAGTAAGCAGACCATGAGTGTTTGAAGAGGGAGAAGGAAACAATCACTGTCAAGTTTCTGTTGTTGAGTTTCTGGCTGAAATATGATTGATCTATCACTGACAACAAAAACCACCTTCTGGAACAGTAGCGGCTGTCCCGAGTCTCCCAGCCATACAGGACAATGGCAGTATTTGTTCCAGTAAAAGGGACATAGGCAGGAAGGCACCTGGGGAGAAAGTCAGGTAGCATTTTCATGCATTACAAAATGAAAGGCAGCCACCTTGCTTGGCTTTCCATGGATCTTCAAATCCTTTGTTAGAGAGGGAAGTAAGAAGAAAGATTGTTTACAAGCGAATTGTAGAGAAGCAGTTCAACGAAGCATAGAGAAATTGGCACATGTCTTCAGGAGGTAGTGGACTTGTTTTCTTATCAAGGGTTTCTATGAATTATAATAATCTGTATATTATTTAATGCATACTCATTTTATTAACTTATAAAATCATCAAAGTTGTTCTTTTTTTCTCAACATAGAGAAATAGGCAATCTGATCCCATAGAAAGCTAAAAAGGAATTCTGTAGTCATATGTTAGGCTATGACTGCTGTGTGCTCCGTGTAAAATGTGTGTTCAGCAACAATTCCTTTCTGACAAAAAGGCGACAGTTATAGCATATTTGATGTTATTTTAATATTCTTCAGGAAAATAGTTTTCAATATAATTTTTGGTCTAACTCTGAATTTATTAAGCTACATAAAAATATGAAAGCAAAGTAGTTGGTGATAACCTCTTGAACTCAGGAAGCCAAAAAGCCAAAATGTCTCCATCAACACAGTTTTTTCTCTCTCCCTCTCTCCGTCTCTTTGTCTGTCTCACACACACTCCCTGACCTTCCTGCACATCATATCCCCTCCCTCCTTTCCTTGGTCCGTTCCTCCCCTGTTAGTAGATGGCTCGCTCTGTGTTCAAGCACCTGGGGAAGAGGATTTGTACAACAGATCTCTGTTTTGAGCACCCTCCTAATTTACTAAGAATAGAAATAGTTAATGAGGTCTGTTTGAAGGGTCATAATGCTATCTTAGTCACAAATGTTTGAAATCACTCCAATGCTTTAATTCCTCCTGCCCTCTTTGTTCTAATCCCACTGATCCTATATAATAAAAGCCTAATATGCAAATTGTTTGACTGGGTGTCCGACCTGGAGTTTGACCGCTCGCTATGACATGCGCTGACCACTAGGGGCGCTGCGAAACAAGGCGGTGTCAGCAACGCGACACCGGCAGTGGGCGGCAGTGGAGACGCTGCTGGCCCCGATGGGCCCCGATGAGAGAGGGACCACGGTGGGATGGTGGAGCAGGTGAGCAGACCATGGCGGGGTGTCAGACGGGGCTACAGGGCTGCAAGGCTGGGGGCTTGAGCTGCGGCTGTGAGCCTGGGGGTGCGAGCTGGGGCCCGATCCCCGCAGGCCACCCTGAGGGACCCTACCCGTGCACCAATTCAATCACCGGGCCTCTAGTTTGTATATAGTTTCCTAAATTCATTGTTTTTATTATACCGTTCCACAATGTTTCACCTGCTGTATCCTTAATTTGAATATCCTCTGTCCAACCACATGATGAACTTCTATTCATCCCTGCAGACCTAGCTCAAGCATCTCCTCTTGGAAGCTTTCTCCTAGTCGAAACTTCCTCAAAGGACTTACAACTTTATATAGCATGTACTTCTATCACTATTTTACTGTAATTTAGATAGATAGACTGTGAGCTTCCCGAGATAAAAAAATGATAGCTCATTGATCCTCTGATGACCAAGGCTTAGCCCCAAGTACATACTTATCACATATTAACAATTGTAGAATGAATAAACTTGTTGACAACTAACACACATTATATTTTAAAAATACAGTGAGCTATGCCAAAACCTGCATCTTTGTTTGGATTGAAAAAAATACTTCTGACATTAAATAGTAGATTTTCCCCTAACATTTGATTTAAATTGGACTGCAAATATATTTTTATCCTACATTAATAATTATAGAAATATAGAGAAAAAAATATTTACTTTTGTACAAGAATGTACCTGTTTCAAAGAATTATTTTTAGATGTTAAGTCCTTTGCCTTGTAACATGTCCTATATATAACCCCTCGATTCTTCAGATACTTAACAGACTAGGAATCAAGGTATTTTTTACCCCAATTTTCACTCAGAATGGGACACCCTGGATCTCTTTTCCATATACCAGACAGGAGCATTCAGAGCCAGGGAAAGAGTGTTAATGGAGTTAGTTGAAGTCGAGGGCATCCCCTAGGGGTCCCATGCTCTACAGAGTAACTCTGAAAATAAACTTTAAAAACACTTCTCCTTATCTGAAACAGACACAGTACATGAAAATGTAAGGGTAGAATGAAATTTATAAAAATTCATGTGAAATAACCCATTATTTGTGCCCTAGGGCTTATATTTACTCTATTAAATTTTAACCATTCTGTCAGCAATTATTTAGTGTATAATCACAATTATGCTAGATTCAAATCAATTCCGCCACTACTGTTAACTTATGTATAAGCTAAAGGGTCAGGTCCCTTTTATATAAATGCGAGTCCAGGTCCTTACGTAGTAAATAGTTTAGGTCAAAAGTCCTAAATAGGAGAGCCCTGAACTTCAGAAAGTCTTGTATATACTTCTGTGACATTATAGAATTCTTTGAAATTGTATGCAAAAGTTTGTGTGTGTATGCATCTTATTGGGAAAAGGATCTTGAAAATTTATCAGATTGCTCAAATGTAACACCCAAAACATTAATAATGATAAACTGAAATGATGATGATATATATGTTTTGGGGTTGTTAGTATAAGTGCTCCATAAATATCAAGTCATTTTATGTGTTTGGATATATAGTTATAGGTTATGATTTTAACAATTCCCTTTTTATTTGTTTTAAGTAATGTAATGGTCTTTATTTCATTATGTTTTCTTTTTGTACTGGTATGCATGTCCAATAATCTCTTTAGTCATAGAATGGTAAGCCAACAAACACATTACGTTTAATATCATTCGATAGAAAATCATCTAGACTAAAAAATAAATACCTAAAAATAAAGTCTTTTCCTAATAATACCATGTACTTAATATCTTCAGAGTATTCATACTTTGGAGTTTTACCAACTTTTGTTAAGCCAGCCACAATTGTAAATTGAATAAGGCAGTGAGAATAACATCCCTTTGATTTCTAAGTTAGTTTATTCTTTACTGAAGGGAACAGAAAACGAAATTTTAAATTTAGTCAGACTAGAAGATATATGTAAAACTAGAGGCCCAGTGCATGAATTCGTGCATGGGTGGGGTTAGGTCAGCGGGAGGGGATGTGGGGGGCAGCTCTCGGAAGGTTGGCCAGTCCCGCCCTCAATGGGAGGGCCGATCGGGGGTGGGGCTGGCCTTGGGGAGGGGCTTTAGGAGATTTAGGGGGGTCAATCAGGGCCCCGATCAGGCTGGTTGGCCAGTCATTAAGTCTTTCTGGTCACTTGGCTTTTATATATATAGATATTCTTTAGTTCTCCAAGTGTACATTATATTATTTTATTTTTGTTTCTTATTTAAGAACAAAATTCATTTTTTTAAATACCAAGTGAATTTAGTCATGCAATCTAAAAATTTAATTATATTTTTATAAAGTTTTATGCATAACAAGAGAAAATTATGGTCATAAAGTTCATCCTCCTTTCAGTGTTTCTTGATTATTTTTAAGCATACGCGTTTGGTCTTTTGTTTTAAGAAATTCAGCCAATAAAAGTGGGCCAAAAGAAAAATAGTTAAAACTGAGTATCAATTTCAGAACAATCCCAAATATTACCCAAGACAATTATTGTCTTTGATGTAAATGACTAAATACTAATGACTACACACTGTCATCAAGATTTTATAGGAAGAATCATACAACAGCTTCTTACCAGGGGATCCCCCTCTGTGTCAGTCTGTGGAATGTGCTTTGAGGTTGTGGCTTCCTTAGTGGAGATGCAACCCTCATACCCAACATCTTCTGGTCGCAACTGAAGTAATGCTGGGCCCTCCTGAGGCAGAGATGCTGAGCTCCATGGGTAGGTATCAAGCACCCACTTTGAGGGATCTTCCCAAGGTGCCCGTTTCCCATACATCTAAAAGGGGATCACATACTTAGCACATATGAAATGAAACTCAGAGGGAAGGTGGGGGTGGGTGGGGAGAGATTAAGCAAAGAACTTTTATGCATATATGCATAACCCATGGAACAGACAATAGTGTGGTAAAGACCTAGTGGGAGATGGGTGCAGGGTGGAGGGAGGCAATAGGGAAAAAGGGGGACATCTGTAATACATTCAACAATAAAGACAAATTTTAAAAATAGCAATAAAAATTAAAAATAATAAATAAAATGCATTTCTATTTAGTAAAAAAGGTGACTACTAATTGAGTGATTCCTTTGCACACTGAGTTTTTATGGGCCTTTTCAGGGAATTACTGTGCACATACAATTTGTCATACTGTAAACATATAGCTGTCTACATAGCTCCGTAGCTCACTTTAACTTTGAAGGCTAGACAAAATTAAGCTAAATATAGGGGAGAGATGATCAGCATTTGGGGAAGAGTGTGAGGGAGGTTTATTTTCACATGTTGAAATGACTACCCACATTTATCTTTTTAAAAAATATGTTTTTATTGATTTCAGAGAGAGGAAGGGAGAGGGAGAGAGATAGAAAATTGATGAGAGAGAAACATCAAATGGCTGCCTCCTACATGCCCCCTACTGGGGATTGAGCCTGCAACCCAGACTGGGAATGGAATTGGTGACCTCTTGGTTCATGGGTCAATGCTCAACCACTGAGCCACACCAGCCAGGCATACCACATTTATCTGTATTAGTAATTTTACAAACCAAAAAAAAAAAAAAAAAAAAAAACAACCCTCAAAGTTGAGAAAGAAAAGTTCCAGTTATGGAGAATTGAATAAAGCTATGCTAGACACTGAGTAGAGCTCTCTACTAAAATGTACTTTGGAAAGATGATTAATAAAAGAAAAAAGACTTCTTTTTCTCTGTTTAACTCAACGTTACTGAGAGAATAAGAATACTTTCTCCCTGATTAGCTGGTTTGGCTCAGTGGATAGAGTGTCGGACTTTGGACTGAAGGGTCCAGGTTCGATTCCGATCAAGGGCACATGCCCGGGTTGTGGGCTTGATCCCCAATAGGAGGTGTGCAGGAGGCAGCCAATCGATGATTCTCTCTCATCATTGATGTTTCTATTTCTCTCTCTCCCTCTCCCTTCCTCTCTGAAATGAATAAAAATATTTAAAAAAGAATACTTTCTCTGATAACCATTTTCTTTAGATTAACTTCATCTAATAATCTCATTGTTTCCTGTAAAAACTCTTTTTAGATGTTTACTTATGAGGTCACTACTAAAAAAGGAAAACAAAATGGGAAACAAAAGCATCACCTTTGTGAGGACACATATGGAGGGAATAGTCAATAATAAAAGGGTGATAAAACCTGGCTAAAGTACTGGCACTGGAGTAGAAGAGAGAAGATGAATTCGAGATGTTAAAAACCCTACTTAGCAGGGCACACTGAGGAGACTGTAAAAATATGTAAGGCCACATGGGGAGAGAGAAAAGTTGCAATTAAGAGAGCAGTAATGTGGGTACACTAGTTCTCTAATTTCCTTCCAATCTCCCCGTGATGTGCTTTCTTGAGGCCAATCCTGGTTACCAGGTGTATATTTGGTCCCAGATGGCTTACTATGGGGTGCTCTGTGTGACTTGTTGTGGTTCAATAAGACAAAACAATATGGTAAACAATGAAACCTTGGAATTGTCTTTTGGGTTTCTCCTGGACAAGATGTATGCAGTGTGGCAGCTTTGCCTAAAAAAAAAAAAAAAAGGAACCAAGGTCCTGGTATCTGCATGTTTCCTTAGGATATGATGGTGGGGGTAGCAATCATTAGATTTTTTTAAATAGTTCTCTTGTTTTGGAGCAGTTGTTCTTTTAGTTAAAAACTTCTCTTGTTTTGGAGCAGTTGTTCTTTTAGTTAAAAACTTACTTTATAGAGGATATAAATATAGGTTGCTATATAACTTAAGCTAATTGAAGAAACATGTGTAATTCTTGGAAAGCAAATGTTATAAAAAGGTTATGAAAGTCTAGAATCAACTGATGCCAACCTTTTAAATAATCATTTAGGGCAGCAAAATAGGAGGTTTACCAATATAAAGGTAAACAAGCCTGATTTTGTATTTTAGAATTTAACAGATTTAAAAATAATTGAAAAAAAAGATAAATTTAAATATTCAGAATGAAAAGAACTCATCGTTGACATTTCAAGAAACATAGAATCACCAGAATAAAAACCAGGATCCTCTGCATCACTGATGTTTTTCCAACTAGAACATCTGGCAAAGAGTACTCCCCATATGGTTCTTCACCAAAGCATCAGCCTTCATTTAAAAAGATATTTTTCTATTCCTCTCAACTCAGAGTTTCATCTTTGCAATCAGGCTTAGTTTTCCCACCTCTTGCTCAGGGCTCTTTGCTGCAGTAGTGAGATCTAAGGGAAGGGTTCCTGACATTCCTTTCCTTCCCGCTCCTCCAGAAGACATATATGGACCACTGAGGAGCATCATCTGCCAGTGGACTTCGGGCTTAGTACAGCCTTCAGCAGCAAACAGAACTGTCTACCACCACAGGGTTTTCCTTTTTCATCTTTCCCATGTGCTGGACTTTTCTCCCAAACTCCTTTCATCACAGTTGATTCAGCATTCACACTGACCTACTGTTAAACATCCACAACCACAGCAAGACACTTGAACATTTTTATCCCTTTTACAAAAATAATTTTGAAATATCTTTCAATTTTAGTTGGGAAGCTGGTATTACTTTTCTCCAAATGGAAGCTTTATCGAATTATAATTCTCAGGATAGTGTTTTATAAATAATATTGATTTAAATATTTAAAAAATACATGCACTTTAAAGAAATGAGATCTAAGCACTCTAATTGTTTTAAGGTTTTTGAATTATTGAAAAGCTTATTTTTCTTTCTATGTCTTAGCAAACACATGAAACAAGAAGCATTTCATATGTAAAAACATGGGTAGTAGCTCATTAATACTCAAAGTAGCTAGAGAACAAACAACTCATTTAAATAGTAAGTTTTAAAATGATTACTTCTAGAATATTATAGGTAAATTTTTATAAACATATTTTGGGTATAAATGATGGAAAGTGAGAGACCCAACTTACATCTTAGGCAGCATATTTTTTAGAGGAATCCTGAGAAGTGATATTTTATATCCGAAGAATTAAAACTTTAGGTATAGTTTTTATTTTACTTTATTAGAGCCACTTTCTGGTTTATATTAGCTCATTTCCTTAAACTTATGAAATTAGGTTATTTAAATCTGGAGTAGAACCAATTGACTGAATTCTCTAGGATCTGAGGGGTCAGAACATCCCCATAATATTTGCATGTACATCAGAACCAACATGATAGTTTTAAATACTGCCATGCCATGCTAGTTAGGTGAGGAGGACATGAAGATCAAAGGAAGTAAAATGAAAGAAAACAGATAACCAATCCTTTGGACAGTAAAAGAAAGACAGTACGGTATTGCAGATGACAAAATACGGAAAGCTATGTCTTAATTCTGGTAACAGTTATAATAATCAAAATAATCATGCCTAAGCCAAAACTGCCTAAACCTTGGCTGAGTTATTGGATAGAAGATTGGATTCTTCTAGAATGAGTTAGGCAATTATGTGACACAAAACTTAACATTTCAACCTTGAGTTTTGTAATTCTACAGTTTCATGAAATTTCAACTCCAATTTAAGGAAATAGCAAGACTAATGGAAAAGGGATAGTATGTTTTGTTGAAGAAAGAAGGTTTTCTTGTTAGTAACATGTTTTGACCTTTTAGTTAAGAGTAAATAGAAGGGCTGACTGCAGGGCCTTAGAGAGGAATAGCAGAGATGGTGCTAAACCAACTTGTCATAGAACTGCCTTAGGACTTAGAGCACTCTCTCAAAAACAGTACAGAATCTCACAAGTGATGTTAATGGGCTTCAAACAATAAAGCATACTAAAAACCGGGGACCTATAATCAAAGACTACTTGTTGTAAACTATATGATAAAAGAATAAATGATCAAGGTTCATGTAAACATGCCTGATTTATAAGATGTAGAGCTCTGCAATTATGGGCTATTTAATAAGAATAGTCTGAAAACACCCATGGCAATAAATTTGGCCTTAAATGTGTAGTTGTTGAAATAATTGTGCTTTCTCTTTCTCCTAAATATTTATTCTCAGAACAGGCAAAAGTATTATATACTAGTTGCTCTTTAAAAGTTTACCACTATATTTATATTGTTCATGTCTTTAGTTTTCTGCATAAATACCCTGAGAAATGAATGTTTTTGCTTATAAATTAATGATTTTTTAAGTAGTATTTCTTTGCATGGATATACCACAGTTTGTTTAACCACTTACCCACTAAAGGACATTTGAGTTGTTGTCAGTTTTGGTGATGTTAAATAATGCTGATACAAACATGTGTAGATTTTTGTGTGAACAATATATTTTCATTTATCCAGGAAAAATACCCAGAAATAAGTTGTTGGGTCGTATGAACAATGTATGCTTAACTTTAGAGAAAGCTGTCATACTATTTTCCAGAGTGGCTGAACTATTTTGCATCCCTACCAGCCGTATGAATTTTTTTCAGTTACTCCACATTCTCCCCAGCACTTACTATTGACAGTAAAAACACTTTTAAAGCCATTTCAATGGGTTTGTAGTGGTAGCTCACTGTGCTTTTTATTTTATTTACCTAATGACTAACGATGCTTAGTATCTTTTCCTGTGCTTAAATTCATGATGATTTTTAAAACAGTAAATAAAATTGAGTACCTGAAGACCTTCTCTTACTGCCTCCAGAATATAAGGTACCAAAGAATAGTTCCAGAGATCCATGAACCACACTCTAGAGCCTTCTACATCCATGGGGCAAGAAAGGAAAAGTCGGGGACCTGAAAAGAAACAAATAACAAGATATTATTGAGAATAATTGTATTTAACAATCTAAACACACATTTAGACACAATATAGGGGGAAGTAATATATTTCTTGAGGATTCTTAGAAAATTTTAATGTTGGCAAGCTTGATTACTATTAAAGTATATTTTACTAAAGACCAAATCTCCTTTGGACTTCCTTTTCTTTTTACATTAAAATCTTAATAAATGACATAATATATTAGAGTTAGGAGAAACCTTAAAGGTCATAATCTAATCAACATTCCCTATTTTACAAATAATGAAAAGTGCTGAAAATGAATTTCCAAATATAAAATATGTCATTCATTTTTCTAATCTACACTGTCTTTATTGAGTATGTCTTTATGATCCATAACAATGGAAAATGGACTTTTATGCATGCAACATAAGAAGAAATATTAAAAAAAACAATGTACGCCAACTACAGATAAATAAGTCAAACAATTTTGTCTTCATGAAAAATATAAAATACATGAATTACCTATAAAATATCTAAATTATCTCTAAAATCTTCTCTCACAACTATATTTGATATGCGCCATTAGCTAAAATTTGTTTTCAGCCTGATCGCCCCTAACCACTCACCTGCCTGCCTGATCATCCCTAACTGCCTTTGCCTGCCTGCCTGATCGCCCCTAACCACTCACCTGCTCGCTTGATCTCCCCTAACTGCTTGCCTGCCTGCCTGATTGCCCCTAACCCCATCTGCTTCGGCTCCTGCCTTGGTGGCTTCATCTGGAAGGATGTCCAGAAGGTCGTTTGGCTGTCCAGTCTAATTAGCATATTATGCTTTTATTATTATAGATGGTTATCTGATTTTTAGAATATCTGTCTATTTTAAACTTATTTGATCTCAGTAATATCTTAGTAAACCACAATTGTCAGACAAATTGGAGATCCAAAACTTAGAAGAAGGCAAACTTTCAGAAGGGAAAGAAAAAAAACAAATCTTTGGAAGCTTGAAACACATAAGCTTCACTTGTTATTTTCTACCATCCAATCTGGTCATCTTCACCATGTACTCTTAGTTCCTAGCAAATGGCATATTGCAATTTTGCAACTCACCAATGGTAACATCAGAAGAACTATGTGTTTCCAAAAAACTGTTGAGATGATGCCATGTCTTAGGAATCCAATCTATAATTTTGACTAGGTCATTATTGCGGATGTTCCTTTCAATTTCTATCTCTATTAGTTTCCTTCGAAGATATCTGCCTAAGAAGCCTTTCACTGGTTCAGTGTGGTTTGCACATAGTACCCACCTATAAAAAGAAAAAGAAAAAGGAAAATCAGAAATCTTTGCGTAATTAAATTTTAAGTCCATAATAATCATCTTTCCAATATAGAGTTCCTTTGTCAATTGGTGGCCACATTTTAATAATCAAAGGGGCGAAGAGGTCTATTAGCATTAGAGCTATTATGTAACTAACTCTTCCTTTTGAGATAAAGAGAAGCTCCTGTGCCTGAGAAGTGAGTGGGAGTATCCACACGGAGCACTCTTCTGCCAGAGAATCACAAGTCCTAAAATAGGAACTCTCTCCACATTCCTCACACTTAGGAAAAGTGCTCTGCTTTAGCTAGTGACAAAGTGAGCAGGAAAAACATTTCTTTTCTTTTCTTTTTTTTAAAGAAACACTTCTGATTACAGATTGAGGATCCTACAAAGTCTGCTTGAGAAAGAGTGTCATACGAAGTGAGAATTATTTTCACACCACAGGTCACCACAGGCAGGGTGTGTCAATGCACAAATGGAAAAACAACCACAAAAACAAAGAGAGAAAGACAAGGAAAAAAACAACAACACACCCTCCAAAAACCGAAAAACAAAGCATTCGATTTATCTTTACCTGAAATTGTGATGCAGCTCTAGATTTGGTGATGAAGAAACTCCCTGATTCATTGTTCCAATAATATATGGACTGGGGGGAAAAGAGAGTAGAATATGCAGATGTACTGATGGTAAAATAGATTAATATATTAAATTGTCTTAGAAAACAATTTAGATAAATGTGATTATTCCATATATAATTAGGCTTTAAAAGGATAATTTTGTAATGTTCGGTTGCAAAAGGACAAAGATTATTGAACTGGAAATTAGGATTTGGTGTTGTAAGTTCAGCTCTCGAATTCTGGGCAAATCATTTTCCCTCTGAAACAGGAAATTTGGACTGGAAATGCAGTGCTCCCCTGGGCAGGATGGCTTCCCAAGAGCTCTTTGTCCATTGGAGTTGAAGAATGAAACCATGAACGGAGGATGGTATAGCAAAGGTGGGAATTTATTGAGAAACAAGCACAAACTCCCATGTGGGGAGAGGGGAAAAGTCCCACAGCACAGACTCCCATAGCACAGACTCCCACGTGGGGAGGGGGAAAGGGTCTCATGGAGTCCCTTTTTCCAGGGTTTATAAAGGCTGCAGTTTTTATGCCTCAATATCCCCTCTGATTGGCCACTATTCCCCTTTGATTTGGTCACTAGAGCAACTCCTGAGCTCAAGCCTCTGTGAAGTACTTGAATTCCCTCCTTCTCCTTAATTGTTCTCCTATTTCCTCTGGGCTTTTCGTCCTCCCTCTTTGAATGAGGGGCTTCCTTCCCTTTATTCTGTAAATGTGTACCTTTTCAGCTCCCAACTTCCCTTATCTCATGGAAATATACCTCCTGCCACTCCCAGCTCCCTTGTCTTATGGAAGTGTACCCTTTTGCAGCTCTGTAGCCCTCTGCTTTTTCCAGGGACCCCATAATTTTAAAATTTCCTAAACCCACCTATTTCACCCCTGAAAACTCCTTTCACCTCTCTGAGCCTAAATTTATGCATCTATAAAATAAAAAGATTAGACAGAAAAATCACACTGGTCTCATTCCACTCTAACATCTTATGATTCTCATGCTTATAATCAAATTCATTTATTTTCCCTCTTTTATTATTTCACAGTTATTTTTAAGGTTCTTTAATAGCATGAAAGAATTTGTCTCTTTGTGTCAGTATTTATTAAGTAAATACTGACAATATCTATATTAAAAGATAATATCTATATTAAAAAATTTTAAAAAAACTCTAGCAGAGATTAATTGGAATACTTGCACCATTAAAACTAATGCTTATGTTATTGCACTTATATGTCTTATTTTTAGAGCCATGCTAGTGAGTCTTAAGTGGGTTTTCAGATATTTTTATGCTCTATTTCAACCTTTCCTTTCACTTTAATAGTTAAAAATTACACTCATTAATGGAGAGAGGTACATCTGAATGTACTAAATTTGTTTCTATAGAAAGGTTGAATTTAAACGTTGATATGGACTGAGAATGAAAGCAGAGCTCTAAAGACTCATTCTAGTTCTTCATTCTCCTGACTCAAACATTCTATCATTGACATAGTCTCCCAGACTTCCTGATTATTTGCTGAAGCTAACATCATCAGGCAAATCATGTTCCCATAAACATGCCTGGGACACAGTTATTGAATGAATAAGTAGATTTTCTAAGAAATACATAGAGAATTTTTTTAGAAATGTGTAATATTAATGAAGGCTTCTCAAATTAATGATACCTGTATAGGTCTTAAGAGGTATAAAGACACAAGAAAGCATATTTGATCACATTTTTTTTGTTTCATCATTCAAAATATTTCATAAACATACCATTTGTTGTATTTGCAGTTGAGGAAACCGTTGAAGATATCACTCAAAGAGCCCACATGATGGAGATTATCAAGAATTATTACAACTGGGAGCTCTACACCATTATTGTCAGCACTGCACTGTTCAGCCAGGCTAGCTAGATACTGTTGTAATTCCTTTATAAAAAATAAAGAAAACAAACACGTCAATGGTGTATTTTATACCACTGGCGAGAATTTCATATTTTATGAATAGCAGACTTTGTCTTCCATCCTGTATCTTTGATTAACAGTCATAGCTTGGTCTATTGATAAAAAAACTTATTCTACAAAGCCAGTACGAAACACCCAAAACAAATATACAACTGTAAACACCAAGGCATATTTCCCAGTTGTCTTCTCCCCCAATGAAGAGCAAAAAGAGAGTTCCTGATATGAGTTCTTAGGATAAACTACAAACATTGAGACTTTATCCCTGTTTTTGAAATGTCAATGATAAAAGTGGATTTTAGCAAATCTTATGATTACAAGTATGATTACAAAATGGCACCCTTAAATTTCCACATATACTCTAAATGTTTTCATTCCAATTCATTTCAGTGGGGTGCATCTGAAAGTGCTGCCCTGAAATTCAGATAAACTGTGGTTATTTATTTACTTATTTCTAATCTGCATGCAGCTGCTATAATTAAAAATAAAGACAAAACTTATTATATTTCACTGGGTTGGTGGACATTATCATTTGGCATTTCTTGAGTTTCTTGGTTCTTTTACAGGCATTATTCCTTTCTAATAGCTTTTAATCTAAGTAGGATAACCAGTTCACTGATTGACTGCTCTCACAGATGGGTAGGCCAGGAACATAATTAGGTTTCTTAGAATTATCCTAATCAGTAAGAACATTTCCATAATATTTGCATATTTACAATGACATTTTCAATTTGTAAGTCTTGCTCAGGGTTAAAAACAATTCCATGATCTCTATTTCTGGCAGCTAGGTAAATATGGGAACTGCTCACCCCAGAGGCAACTCACTCTGTCTGTAAGACCACTTTTAAAACTAAATGTAGGAAGGGATAAATGACAATAACCTGGGTTTTTGAGGCACTTAATAATATATTCAAGTTCAAATATAAAATTTATTAAAGAACCAGTATACTATTTACCTTATATTGAACCAATCACATAGCATATTGCCAAAATAAGAGATTGCAGTAAAAGATGTTTGAACTGGTGAATAGTCTGGGGAATTTCATTTACCTTATTTATTTCAATAATCTAGCTATAGTGAGTCATTCATTTATTTATAAAATATGCAGTCTACTCCATTTTGAGTTTATTTCTGTGTATGGTGTAAGTTGGTGGTCTAGTTTCATTTCATTTTATTTTATTTTCTTAAATATGTTTTTATTGATTTTTTTTTTTTAGAGAGAGAGAAAGGGAGAGATAGAAATGTCCAGGATAGAGAAACATCATCTATCAGCTGCCTCCTGCACGCCCCCTATTGGGGATCCTGCCCACAACCTGGGCATATGCTTTGTCCGGGAATTGAACAGGTGACCTCTTACTTCCTGGGTCGACGCTCAACCACTGACCCACACTGGCAGGGAAACTCAACTTTTTAAATCAACTCATCTACTGATGGACACTTGGGCTGCTTCCAAATCTTGGCTATTGTAAATAACACTGCAATGAACATAGGGGTACATATATTCTTTCGAATTAGTGTTTCAGGTTTCTTTGGATATATTCCCAGAAGAGGAATTGCTGGGTCATAAGGCAGTTCCATTTTTAAATTTTGAAGTAACTCCATCCTGCTTTCCAAAGTGGCTGCACCAGTCTGCATTCCCACCAACAGTGCATGTGGGTTCCCTTTTCTCCACATCCTCATTTTATTTTTTGCATGTACCTGCCCAATTTTCTCAATACCATTTATTGAAGAGACTGTCTTTACCCCATTGTATGCTCTTGCCTCCTTTGTCAAATACTAATTAAACATAATGGCTTGGGTTGATTTCTGGGTTCTCTGTTCTGTCCTGTCAAACTATATGCCTGTTCTTGTGCCAGTACCAGGCTGTTTTGATTATAGTTGCTTTGTAGTATAACTTGATATCTGGTTTGTGATCCCTCCCACTCTGTTCTTCTTTTTAAAGATTGTTACAGCTGTTAGGGGTCTTTTTTGGTTTCATATACATTTTTGGAGTATTTGTTCTAGATCTGTGAAATATACCCTTGGTGTTTTAATAGGGATTACATTGAATCTATACATTGCTTTGGGTAGTATGAACATTTTAATGATATTAATTCTTTAATCCATGAACAGGGTATATACTTCCACTTGTTTGTATCTTCTATCTTTTTTTTTTCAAAGTCCTGTAGTTTTCCAAGTACAGGTCTTTTACCTCCTTGGTTAAGTTTATTGCTAGGTATTTTTTTGTTACAATGGTAAATGGGATTTTTTTTTTAGTTTTCATTTCTGAGAATTCATTATTGGTGTATAAAAAAAGCCATTGATTTTTTGGGTGTTGATTTTGTATCCTGCTACATTGCCAAATTCATTTATTAAATCTAGTAGTTTTTTGGTAGAGTCTTTAGGGTTTTCTATGTACAATATCATGTCATTTGCAAATAATAAGAATATTACTTCCTCCTTTCCAATTTGAATGCCTTTTATGTTCTCTTCTTGTCTGATAGCTGTGGCTAGGACTTCCAGTACTATGTTGAATAAGAGTAGTGAAAGCAAATATCTCTGTCTTGCTCTTGTTCTTAGGGGAAATAGATTTAAGTTTTGCCCATTGAGTATGATGTTGTCTGTAGGTTTGTTATATGGCCTTCATTATGTTGAGGTATGATCCTTCTATTCCCACTTGGCTGAGAGTTTTTATCTAAAATGGATCACTTGTAGCTGCTGGAAAAGACTTTCTGGTGGCAGGATTACTGCTATTAATCCTTTATTTGTAATATTGAGTAATGTTTTGATCTTAAAAATAGAAGAATTTTCCAAATATAAGGAGAAGAACAATTAAAGACAGAAACACAAAATAGTGATACCCATGTAGGAAAAAACTAGTTGTAAACATGTTGTATGTAAATAATGGTAAATAAATTAGAAAGGAAGGTGCACAATCTTGAATGATTAGTGAGGTTACTGGAATCTTCCTATTGGCAATGATAAGACATTGAATGTTTTGTAAATCTGAGTAATGTGGTCAAAATTATAATTTCAAAATGTATTAAGTATATTGTAAAGGAGAAAAATAAACCAGTCAAAAGAATACTGAATTTGTTGAAGCCAAAACACACTATGGGACTCGATATAGATAGAGAAGTGTGGCAAGATTTTTGATCTAGTGCAGAAAGTAATGAGAAAAAATTGTAGAATTTTAATGTGGTCAGATTTTAATTATGAAAAACACTTTATTTTCCATGAGGTGAAAGGATAAAGATAGGAAGAGAGAGAAGGGAAAGTAAACTTAAGTTGCGAATAGAGCAGTGAGAAACAACTAGAATAGTCCAAGTGATAGAGGGTGTTAATTTGGGTGGGAGGGCAGTCATAGTAGAGATGGATGGAAGAAGATGGATTTATGATATTTTTTTCAGAGTTGAAGTTGGCATTTCTAAATGTGTATATTTAGTATGCTAATATTAACATATTTGTAATCTAATAGAAAGAGAATGGACATGGTTAAAAATGGAGTCAACACAAGTTGAAACCAATGGAGTCACCTAGATGAGAACAGATGTGAGAGAGAACAGTATATATGGGAATATTTTTACTTACCAGTAGGTAAAGGAAGAGTAGTCAGTAAAAGAGACAAAGAAGGAGCCTTCTAAGTAGGAAGGAAACAAGGAAAAAAGGAAAATCAGAGGAATTTCTAGAAAGGAGAGGTGAACTATAGCAATTTGCTATACATAAGGAAAGGGGAGAGAGAGAGAGAGAACAATGGGCATTGAATTTGGTAATTAAGAAATCACTGGGTGATTTTTGGAAAAGTAGGGCCATTAAATTTTATTATGGTTCGCTCTCATCTTGAGAAGGGTAGTAGATTATAAGATCCCACTGGGAATCTAAAAAAAGCTATGGACCAGTGGCAAGTAGAAATTAGCACACACAAATAATTTTGTCATATAAGTTAAAAGCTTTTCAGACCTTTTGGAAATCACTTCATGATTCTCACCATAGCGTAACTGGGGGCAAAGTCTTAGATTGAAGTACTGATGCATTAACATTAAAAGTCTCATGCCCAAGATCAAATCAGGCAGTATAAAACAGCTATATCTACCAGATGGACATTGAGGATGAGATAAATCCCATGCTTTGAAAATATACACAGAAAACAGCAGTTACATAAAACTGTTGATCATTGCTTTCTTTGGTTTTGATTCTAGGCACACTATTAGTAGAAATGAATCTGCCAAGTTCAGTTTTCTAATCTTTCCCTACCTAAAACCCTAGGTGGCTTCAGATGGCCACATAGTCTTTCCTAAACCCATCTCTAGGTTTCTGGGCCCACTATATCAAATGTCACCAAGGATAATTGCTTATATGTACTGCTCTCGATCAAAATATTCCTACTGGCAGCATGAAGAAAGGCTAGAAGAGTGAGAAGAGGGACCGAATGTAAAATACAGATGTACCAAAGCACGAAAAGATTTTTTTTTCTTTTGATGGTTTATTGTTCGCTATTTTGGAATAAGTAAGTGCTTTTTGGCTTCATCTCTTCAGTGCTGTCTACGGTCCAGTATAAAGCACAGCCGCAATTACAAAGCTCCATTTTTCAGGGAAAGGATTTATTATTTTACGCCTCATTCACACTTCACTTAATAAATCGACACTGTTAGCAGCTATCCCTCACACAACCTCACTTTCTCATCCCTAGTCCTTTATTACTAGTCTCATTTGCCACTCCCATAAAAACGAAACAAAACAAAATAGAAAACAAAACACCAGTGTAGTTTCTCTCACAATTAGCATGAATTGACCAAGTTCTCTGGCAACAATTTTGTTTCCAGCATTACTAATAGCTCATTCTCATCTTACAAAAATAAAGTGAAAAAAAAACAACAACAACATTTGTTAGTTTGTATTTTGTACTTTCTTGGTGCTGAGTATCACATGATTTGTCCATGGTTTTTGTTGTTGTTGTTGTTGTTTTTCCTTTTACTGTTTCTGAGAATCATTAGCTGTATTTGAACACTCTTGGCAATGCTTTATTTTTCATTATTTTGTAATAACAAAAATTAAACTGACCTAATAATGGCAGAAAATATTCTATTATGAAATAGTAGAAAATAAGAATGTTGGGAATACTAGATTAAAAAAAATTAAGAACACATACAATGTTGATAAGAATAGCTCCAAGCTCTAAACATTTTTAAAACTGAGATATAAAGTACCTATATATAACAGAGGACTTGGGATTAAAGCAAATTTTATAATTAATATTAATTAACCTAATTTGTTAGCATAATAAAACTACATCCTAATGAAGCCCAAATAAATCTGATTTAAAACTTGATTTTAAGTGATATCCAACTTCATCAAAATGCTTTGGTTTCCTGTAATAAATAGTCTATTTTCTACCCATTTGTTTTCTCTTAAAGGAAGCAAGGTTTAAAGAATTTTGTCACCTCAACATTGAGGGAATACCAAAAAGCACACTGAGGATGACTAAGAAATGTCAATCCTTTTATCATTTTGGTTAAAAAGAAAAAAACATTCTGTTAAAAGGCTTTTAAGTAAAGATATGAGGAGACCTAAAATTCACAGTTGGCATTGAACAATGTTGACTGGAACCAGCAAACAACTGTGTTCTTCTTGCTTCTTAGAGAAGAGTCCAATATTCTGGTTCCATGCCTCAGGTCCCATGCTCTCCAGTTGTGATGAGTATGGGTGATTCAACCATAATTTGAACAGTGCTGGGCTCCAAGGAAATATTTGGAATACATGTATTATATTAATTTAACTTTAATAGATCTCATCCTGCTTTATGACATCTTTGTTCTCCTTGAAAAATAAATCTAAGACAATTTTGAACAAAGGTGTGTATGTGTGTGTGTGTGTATGTGTGTGTGTGTATGTGTATGTATGCTAATTTGTCCATTATTGTGTCCCATTCACAACCAGTCTGTGGGCAGAGTCAGGGGCGGGGACTTCCGCCCCCACTAATGTCACGCTGCCTGCGTGCTCCTGCGTGCATCCCGTTCAGCACTGGTATCACGCTACTGGGGGTTGGGGGTGGGAAGGGATGGGCTTGACAGTGGACCTAAGGGCACGCCCCCCACCCCCCCGCCCCCAGCTCGGGGCCAGGAGACTTCAGGCTGTGTCCCCCGCTCCAGCCCCTGCTCTAAGCCAGGAGACCTCAGACTGAGCCCCCTGGCCCAGAGCCCACCAGGAGACCTCAGGCCACACTCCCCACCCTGCAGGGCTCGACAGGGTACCTCAGGCCACACCCCCCACCCAGCGCGCCTTTGACGGGGGACTCAGACCATGCACCTCACCTGGCAGGGCTTGACGGGGGACCCCTGCCCTTGCTCAGGGCCGGGAGACCTCAGGCCATGCCCCCCACCCAGCAGGTTTTGACAGGGGACCTCAGGCTGTGCCCTCTCCTGGTGGGGCTTGACAGGGGACCTCAGGCCACACCCCCACCCTAGCGCTGGGCTGGGGGACCTCAGGCTGTGCCCCCTGCCCAGTGGGGCTTGATGGGGACCTCAGGCCACATCCCTCCCCTGGCAGGGCTTGACAGGGGATCTCAGGCCGCACCCCCGCCCCGCGCCGGGCTGGGGGACCTGAGGCTGCGCCCCCCACCCAGAGGGCTTGACGGTGGGTGGGGCCGGCCGGGTCTAGATCTCCGCATTTTTCGAAGCGGGTGAGGGTGGTGGGCGGGGTCTTGACTCTAGGTCCCGTGGTGCACCCCAGACTCTGACGGGAGGGAGATTTTATATACATTTTACTAATTTTCTTTCATCTCTGACACTTGGAGGGAGATTTTATATACATTTTACTAATTTTTTTTCATTTCTGATACTTCTATTATAGAGAAAGGACAAATAGCAATATTAAAATATTTCTTCTCATTAATTCTCTTTTAATGTGCACGAATTTCATGCACCGGGCCACTAGTATATATTTATATCACAACTTCTTGATCCTTTCATCTATCAATGGACACTTAGGTTGTTTCTATGTTTTGGCTACTGTAAATAATGTTGCTATGATTGTGGGGATGCAGATATCTTTTTGAGTTAGTGTTTTTGTTTCCTTTGAATATATTCCCAGAAGTGAAACTGCTAGATCACATGGTAGTTCTTTTTTGATTTTTTGAGGATCCTCTCTACTGTTTTCCATACTGGCTGTACTAATTTACAATCCCACCAAAGTGCACAAAAGGGCTCCCTTTTTTCCACTCCCATGCCAGCATCTGTGATCTCTTATCTTTTTGATGATGGCCAGGCTAACAGGCATGAGGTGACACCACATTGTGGTTATAATTTTCATTTCCCTAATGACTAGTGATATTGAGCATCTTTTCATATACCTGTTGGTTTTTCCTATATCTCCTTTGGATCATTTTTTTAAATTATGTTTTTTGCTATTGAGTTCTTTATATTTTTTGAATTTTAACCCCTTATTAGATATATAGTTTGCAAACATTTTTTTGCTATTCCATAGGTTATCTTTTCACTTTGTTGATGTTCTTCTGCTGTGCAGAAGCTTTTTAGTTTGATGTAGTCCTACTTATTTATTTTTTACTTTATTGCTTATGCTTTAAATATCATATCCAAAAAATCATTACCAAGACCCTTGTCATGAAGCCTTATTCCTATGTTTCTTCTGGGAGTTTCATGGTTTTAGGTCTTACATTTAAGTCTTTAATCCACCTTCAGTTAATTTTAAATATTTAGTTTACTTTAAGCATAAATTTACATTGGTTTCAGGTGTAAAGCATAGAGTATTTTATTGTTTTTGATGCTGTTATAAATCAAATTGATGTCTATTTCTTTTTCAGAAAAATTCATTGTTAGTGTATAGAAATGCAACAGATTTTTGCATGTTAGCTTTGTAGCTGGCAAATTTAGCATTGATTAGATCTAACAATTTTTCAGTTGAGTCTTTAGGATTCTTTCTCTATAAAATCATGTCATCTGCAAATAGAGAAAACTTTACTTCTTTTCCAATTTTGATAACTTTTATTTCTTTATCTTGCTTAATTGCTCTAGCTATGATTTCCAGTACTTTGTTGAATAGTAGTGGTGAGAGTGGGCACCCTTGTCTTGTTCCTGATTTCAGAGAAAAAAACTCAACCTTTCATCTCTGAGTATGATGTTAGCTGTGAACTTGTCCTATATGGCCTTTATTTTGTTGAGATGTGTTCCTTAGATGCCTAATATATTAAGAGTTTTTACCATATTGAATTTTGTCAAATGCTTTTTCTACATCTTTTAAAATGACCATGTGATTCTTTTCTTTCACTTTGTTAATATGTTGCATCACATGATTGATTTTCATATGTTGAACTATTCTTGCATCCCAGGGATAAGCACCACTTGATCATGATGAATGATCCCATTAATGAGCTGCTGAATTAGGTTTAGTGTCCTCTTCTGGTTTTGGTATCAGGGTAATTAATGCTGGACTCATAAAATGAGTTTGGGAGTACTCACTCTTCTTTGATTTTTAAAAGAGTTTGAGAAGGATCGTTGTTAATTCATCTTTAAATGTGTGGTATAACTAACCAGTAAAGCCATCTGGTTCTGGGCTTTTCTTCATCTGAAGGTTATTGGTTACTGATTCAATCTTATTAGTAGTTGATCTACTTGAATTTTATAATTCTTCCAGATTCATTCTTGGTAAATTGTATATTTCTAAGAATGTTTCCATTTCTTCCAGTTTGTTAGCGTGTAGTTGTCCATACCATTAGGAACATTTTGTTCACTAAGCTACATGTATGGTTTATTTCAAGAATCCACTGGGTTTTGGATGCTTTGGGAATCATGTTTATTCCTGAAAATTTGCAGGCCTGAGGTTTCTGAGAGTTTGGGTTAGTTTAGATCATCTAAGCAGGTTTGCTGAAAAATAACATGGCCCAGTATCATGTGGATTCCCTCAGGGACTGGTCATAACAAATAGAGTTTTCTAAGCGAACTTTAGGTTGAATTAATTGAGAATGTAGTGAATATTATTATAGGCAAAGTCTAGTGTTAGGCATAAACTATTTCCTTTTCAGGATGTCACATTTTACTCAGAATATATGAAAGTACTAACTAGGCTTTATAGCCTCTCATGCTTAGTTAAAAATTGAGAGTGTTCAAGCTATTATGGTACATGAGCTTTCAGTTGATGCTAACAAGGAATACTGTTCAATTTCCTAAGGTTCCCAAGCAGAAATCCTATAGAAATATGATGTAAGCAATTGCTGCTTCCAGAATTTCCGCCTGGGATATTCTAATTATACCCAAATACCCATTCAGTTAATTCCTACTAATTTATTAAGACTCAGAGCCAATTATTGACTTTTTATAAAGCTCTGATTCCTCCAGGAATTGTTATTTTTACCTCTTGCATCTATAGCACTTTTCATGGATCTCTTTGTACTCATACTTCCTAAGAGAAATCAGATAATAGGGAATCTGTCATTTCCTTCTGTATGTCCCCAATGTCTGTGATAACTTAATGGTATTGAATAGCAGTTTTGTTCAAAGTCATGAAGCAGGGTTTAGTCAACTACTACATACTACTTTTAGTCAAAGAGGTGGATACATTTCCATGTACAATATGGAACTTTTACGCAATCTTAGTGCTTAATTGCTTAAGACACTTGTGGATACATAGCAGCAGTTCTCGTAGGAATTTGTGACTTACCTTACTTGACTTGTGGTCCACATTAAAAGTGGCAATTGCATCCTCTGTCTTTTTCCTCCCAGATTTGGTTATTACATATTCAGCAAGTTTGTTTGCTAAATAGGTCTTTCCAGTACCACTAGGTCCTGAGAGTATAATTCTGTGATGCTCCATCAACAAGTTAAAGTACCTTTGGGTAATTGGTTTAGGAATGAGTGTATCAAAAACAAAACTGTCCAAACTGTTTTCTTCTACCCCTGAAGGAAGAAACAAAGGGAACAGCTTGCCTTATTGTTCCATACAAGCTAGAATTTAAAATACAGTGTCAACTGCCAACAAAGCTTTGTTATTCATAGCAAAGCAGTCCTTGCAAAAACACTTTCCTTGATACTTGTATCCCACGAACATATGCTGCCATTTTAAGACAGAAAACATCAGTAGTGAGAGAGAGTGAACATGCAAAAGAAAGGAGGCCCTTTCCTTTTGTTCAGGCTTCCTTCCACTGTCTACTTCATGCTTCCCACTTAAGTTTCCAGAAAGAAATGGAAGCATTACTGTAAATTCTATTCTAAAATCTCCTTCCCTTTGAAGGTGGTAGTTTCGTTAAGAATAAATGTAAAGATAAAAATACAAAATACGTATGTGTGTATGTTCTTCCCTTTTTCTTCCTGTTTCTCTTCTGTGTTTTCATTTAGCTCTCATTACACACCCCAGCTGTACAACCACTTAAGCTTTTGGAAAACACAAATTGTGATATTTAGCAAGGAATTAAGAAGTAGAGAAACAGTATCTCCTTTTTACTTACTCAATTACCTTAATCATAAAATCAAATATTGACACATTCCTATTAATTCATAGTTTATATAGATGTACTCTGATTCTTTAACATGAATGAACAAGAAATTATGGACATAAGCATACTTTAGATATTCTATTTGCCTATAATTAATCACATCATCCAAAGCAAAGAAAACAATTCCTCACTCTTGATTATTAACTTCCATTCGCTATCCCCAGTGGGTATTTATTGGGTACACATATTTTAAAATCAGAGATGTAGTGATGAATACATTACTTTGGAACAAAAAATACATGTTTTGAATCCTCCCAATGTGAAAGATGGTAATGGAAGAAACCTAGAAACTTGAAATTCCCTAAATCACATTCCCTTTTTTGTAAGTCCTGGAGAATTTTTAAAATTACAGTACAAGTTTCATGTCCTCAAATCCAAAGGATTTCATTTACATGGATTTTAGTGTTTTATGTAGGATTTCTGTGTTTAAAATGTAAATACAGTTCATTTCATACCAAAACTATCAAAGTAGTTAACATAGTTTTCAATATGAAAATATGAAGGCAAACTGCAAAAAAAAAAAAAAAAGTAATGTTGGTAAAAAAAAAAATACAATGTGCTTTTCCTTTCCTTTTGATTTTTACCTTTCAGGTTCACAGTGATGATGTTGTTATCTCCAACAAGGTATCCACAAGGCAGCAACTCAGGCACTTCTAGGCTATGGGATCTAATTAAATCCCCTATGCAGTAGCTAGCAATGCAGTCAGAGCTCAGACCAAGGCTAGCAGATGTATCAATTCGAAACACATATTCCTAAGAGGTACACACAAAAACAGGAAGGTCAAAACTGAGGTTCGACTCGTCAACCAAAAAATACAAAACTCATGGGGATATGAAACTATCTGTCAAGAATTTTAGAAATGAGCAATATAAAACTAATGTAGATAGAAAGCTCTCCTTGATATTTGAAATGAAGGAGAGTAAAAGCAAATATGTCTATGCTATTAAAGCTAAGGGAAGTATCCAAAATGAAACACATCTGAAAATTAATGGCAAGATATTTGCACAACTTACCTTAAAGAGACGTCTGATTACACCATCTAAGACATCCCACTTGGTTTTTCCACTAACACCAATGGATCCTATCAAATATGCCTGAGACTTCTGGTCCTACATAAGAACAAAATAAAACAAGATAAAAACCCACCTGTGTGCCTTGTCTTATCACTACATTTGCTACTAAATGTATGGATGTAGTGATGATTAAGACTAATATACTTATTAAGCCTATGGGTTTTATAGTAACAGATACACACAGTGGATTATGTAAAATAAAATACACCCCAACAAACTAAGCAACCAACCAAAGTAAGAAAGAAACAGCAATAGCAACAAAAACAAATAAGAGATTAGATGAAACGATATGGTCAAGGAAAACGGATTCATGACCTGTTCAGTAGAAGGGAAAGGGCCAGGAGAGAATAGTCTTCCGTTTTAATGCAGAGGGTGCATTCCTGGAGAGAAGCAGCTTGGTAGGAAGGAAATGGTGATAGAGATGGAATAGAACTATATCATATGAGTCCTAGAACTTCAACTTACTATTTTTGTGATTTTTATCTTTGTTAAGCTTTTTAAAAAGTTATTCACTTAGATTATCTTTAAAATGTAATCCAGCTTTAAAAATAATTTTCCCATGGTAGTATTGCATTCATATACTAGCAAAACAGGTCCCCTTTTGAATTTATCAGAGTAGTCATGATTTCAAAGGACTTGCAGGGAATGTACAGGACTCATTTTAGCAAGCAAAGAATCCCTTTACAATATAAACTATGGCCCCAAATTTATCATTTTGGTGGGATGGGATTTTGAGGAATTTCTACATATATTGGAAAAGTAAGCAATTCAAAGTTTATAGCCTAACTGGAGCTTCTTTCATGCCAAATGGTTATGTGAAATAGTGATCATGACACCAGTAGATAGAATTAGAAAGCATATAGATTACAATCTTGGGTCTAGTCACCAACTGCATACTCCCTAAGATGTGGTCAAATAACAACTAAGTCAGGTATTAGAAGACATGGATTCTACAACATACAACATCTACCACATAATTAATAAATATGACCACAGGTGAGTCACTTAGCTCAGAGCTCCAATTTCTTCATCAGTAACATTTAACTCTATGAGGGTGATTATCACCATTATTTAGATATAAACTGATTAAGAAGCCAATACCTTTAACATAAAAAGCTGATAAATTCACAGCAAAACCACTGTGATCTTTTTTTTAATTATTATTACTACTATGGATTAAATGTTGGTATTCTCCTCCATACAGCCCAAAAATTCATGTTAAAGCCATAATCCCCAATGTGATAGTATTTGGAAATAGAAACTTTAGGAGGTAATTAGAGTTAGATTAGGCAATTGAAGTAGGCCTTTCATGGTGGAAATAGTGGTCTTATAAATAGGGGAAGAGAGAGATCTCTCTCCTCCAGTACACACACTGAGGAAAGTCCATGTGAGGACACTGAAAAGGTGGCGGTGTACAACTTGAAGAGCGAGCCCTCATCAGGAATCAAATCAACCAGCACCTTCATTTTGGACTGCAGAACTGTGAGAAAGTAAATTCAGCTGTTGAAGTCACCCAATCTATGGTATTTTGTTACAGCACTCCAAGAAGACTAAGAGAACTACTTTCAATTTTCAAAGACACTGTCTTTTAGAATTCTTTTGAAAAAGAAAACTTGTTTTCCAGTGTTATTGTAACCCAGTCAAAATGGACACGGATACAATCCTATACAACAAAGAGTTAACATGCTAATTAGACCAGATGGTTGAACGACCTTCCAGAATGACCTGTCTGAACAACCAGTGGGGGGTGGGGGCGAGGCCAGCGAGCCTGCACCACCAGGCAAGCCATGGCAGTCTTGGCACCCCCCCTTCTGCAGAGATGGCGGGAGAGGGGACTGTGTGGTCCTGGTCCTGGCACTGCACCTTCTGCAGAGGTGGCCGTGGGGAGCAGGCCTAAGCTATAGTTGGATATCCCCAAAAAGCTCCTGGGCTGCCAGAGGGATGTCCCCCAGGGAGCAGGCCTAAGCTGGCAGGTGGACATCCCCTGAGGGGTCCTGGACTGCGAGAGGGCACAGGCCAGGCTGAGGGACCCCCTGAGTGCACGAATTTTCATGCACCGAGCCTCTAGTGCTTTATAAGCAGCTGCTTTTAACTTAGAGGTAGTTTAAAATTCACTGAGATTATTATAGTCTTTCACTGTAAGACCCACTTCAGGAAATCAGGCCAAAATCTGCAGCTAAAGCAGAAAGTTTATTCTTGGGATGTTTGCTCAGTATAAAAATTCTCACTTTCTTTTAAAATTTAAATAGTTCCATTATTTAAAAATTCTGAAGCACTTTTTGTTTTACTGTTTGATTGAAAAGAATTAGATTCTTACAAATTTGTTTTCTTGGCCACTCAAATACATTTTCAGCTTGAAATATTATTTTTAGTTTTAAGAAAGGGCTAGAGTCAGAATGACATTGTCAATTTGAAGGCAATATTTGATTCCAGAAAAATTAAAATATTTGCCTAATCAGCTAAGGCCTTGCTTCAAAATGATACATACAAGAAGTACAAATAGAACTTATCATACTGAGTTCAGTAGAATATGTCTTTCCAATGTCTAGGATATTTATCTAGCTTACTAGAGGCCCGATGCACAGATTCGTGCACTGGTGGGATCCCTCAGCCTGGCCTGTGCCCTCTCACCAGCCGAAGATTGGGCCAAAACCAGCAGTCTGACATCCCCTAAGGGATGTAGTAGTACAAAAGTGGCAGGTGGCTGGGGCGGAGGCTGAGCCCGGGTGGGGGACGGCCCTTCCGCTCATCCTGGCCCCACTGCTCCTGCTGCCGCTGCCACTTGGTAAGCTCGCTGAGTGGCACTCCTGCTGTAGGAGCACACTGACCACCTCCTGCATTGAGCATCTGCCCCCTGGTGGTCAGTGCACATAATAGCTACTGGTCAAATGGTTGACCAGTCAAAAGGTTGATCAGTCGCTTAGGGTTTTATATATATAGATAGTCTCTTCTTTACACAAAGGCCAAACTGACAGCTGTAGCAACATGTTACTGAACATCATAAAGATCACCTGTATTCTACAAGTGAAACCTGATGGATATTTTAGAATATTTCATTTTAGATGAATGTTTATGACAAAGAAGGCAACTTTTTTTTAAGTTCTAGAAATAAGGGTCGCTGGCAATCAGTGAGGATTCAGTGAGTGGACATGACATACTGAGACACAGGTTTACCTATATGATGGTGTCATTTTTTCCGGTCCCTAATTTTTCTGCTTCTATAACATATTAAGGTAATGCCAAGACAAACACTGCTAATAATATGTTAATCAGAACCAATATCCAAATACAAAATACAATTGATTCATGGTCATTCTCAGCCTTTAGAAATAAAGAATTTAAGATTAAAGAAATACCTTTGCATGACCGTAGCCCTTGCTTATGGAGACTATAATTTTCACACTGCGTCCATCTTTATGTCCGCTTGCATCACCAGCATCATCTAGCAAAATATCTACCAAATTAAAAACACACAGACACACATCAAGTAGAGTCATGTTAGTTCAATTTGTCTGTTATCATTGTTTTCTCCCTCAGTTAGTTTTATAATTCAATGGGACTGGTTAGCTTTTCTGCTTCCCAAATTAGCCTGATTGGCTTAAAAATCTTAGCCCTTAAGAAGCTGAATTACTGTGGTTGGGTTAAAGTTTTCAATCTAAGATTTTATTTCAGCTACCAAATATCTTCACCCAAGTGCTGGGCCATGGCCTTTAGATGAGGAAATGAGGGGTTTCCTTTTCCATTACACACTGGTCTGAGTAACCGGCATAATATTCAGTTACCATTATAACTGTGACAAACTGAAAAGCAATCTGATTTTTCAATCCAATCTAAAGTATCCAAGCTCAATATCCATATAATTTATAAATGCAAAGGTTCGGAGATTGACTGTCAACTGAAATTATTTTCAAGCATTTGGCACTGATCCAGCTATATCACTGCTTACCTTATATCTATAATTATGATACTCTGAATTTCAACCATGGCATTATACTTACCTTCAAAAATATGTTAATTATCACTCCTCTGTACTCTTTATGCTTATAGTTTCAAAACCAGAATATTATTTTTAGTAGTCAGCTAAGAGTTACAGACGCATGATAAAGCTAGCTAACCTTTAAAGCTCCAGTCCTTAAATAAGATTAAAGATAATTTTCAAAATATATTATATAAGATTAATGTCTAATTTGGAGAATTATTAAGGCAAACTATCCCAAATATATGTTTTCCTTTGACAATGATGTTATTATAGAGCCATATTTAATATGAAGACAGTGTTCTGTGGATGAAGAAAACTCAGTTACGTGCTGAAGAGCACATGTGTCTGGTGACAGGAGGACTCAACTGCTCTGACTGTAATTTTATAGAAACAAGGGCTGCCATCATAGCATCATAGAATCAATAATTTAATCAAATAGCTTCTGAAAATGGAATGGTTCCATTATCTTAATAATGAGGAAAATGCAACTTTGCAAAGGAAGGAGCAAAAAAAAAAAATATCCCTTAAGACCATAATGAAAAAGTAGCATTCAGAATTTGAAGAATATGAAGATTTTTGCTAGAAACTCTTTATTTTTTTATTGTTTAAATTTTTATTGATGAGTGTGTGTGTGTGTGTGTGTGTGTGTGTGTGTGTGTGTGAGAGAGAGAGAGAGAAAGAGAGAGGGGGGGAGAGAGGGAGGGAGAGGGTGAGAGATTTGTTGTTCCACCTATTTATGCATTCATTGGTTGTTTCATATACACTGAGTGGCCAGATTATTATGACCGGCCAGATTATTATGACCACCTCATCAGTACTTCATTGACACTTCCAAAAATACTGAATATTGAAAACTCCCTAAGCAAATACTCTCAAAGTTTTATTGTTATTATTATTATTTGCATAACTAATTCACTTCATTGTACTGATTAGGTGGTCATAATAATCTGGCCACTCAGTGTATGTGCTCTGATGGGGGATCGAACTGGAAACCTTGGCATTTCAGCAGGATGCTCTAACCAACTGAGCTACCTGGCCAGGGTTGGAAATTTTTTAATCATCAAAGACTATCTCCCTTACTGGAATTTAATTATTTTACCAGATTACCATTCTCATAGTCTCTCACTTTTTCACCTATCCCACTAAAAAATGAAACTCTTCCTTAAGTGTCATCTTAATTCTCTTGCTCCTTTTCTCAGAAGTTTACAGTGGTTCACTAATAGCTGTTCACACCTAAATTTCTCATAGTTCATGACCAAATTAACTTTTTAGTACTTGGCTCAATTATTTATAAATGTTGATAAATATGCACAAACATTGATTACACATAAAATATATCAGAAACTGTGCTGGGGATTGGAAATAAATACCAAGGTAAGAATGAATACTACAAAAGTATACAAGATAATTTCATAATGTGCTAAGTGCAAGAAATGAAAGGCACAGGGTAGTGAAATAGAGTAAGTGAAGGGAGCCTGCTCCAGACAGGTAGGTAATCTTGGAAGGCTTCCAGGCGGAGGAGGTGTTTAAAGCTAAGACCAGGAGGCTGAGAAGTGCTACGCAAATGAGGAAAAGAGGTCCAGTCAACATAGACAAATTAAAAAGTCTTGATGAATGAGCTAGGTGTTCAAGGAATGGATAAATATTTGGGATGGCAGGAGTGTACAGACTAAGGAGAGAGTGGGGAATGCATGAAAGGATGTAAGGGCCAGCTCATGTATGACCTAATAGTCCATAATAAGAAATTTCATCGGATTTCTGATCTACTTGTCTAGTTTGCCTTAGAGGATGTTATTCATTTTATATCATGCTTACTCTTAAAAAACAGACTTAAAATATAAAATGTCTCAGCAATAGGGTAAATATTTGTCAACAAGTAAGTGACTAATTATCCTTGGTAATGGTTAAAATCTCAGGCACTAGATTCAGCCAAACTTGGGTTCAAAAATTAGCTCTGCCAGTTACTAGGTGTGTGATTTCCAACACATTATTATAGTCACTTTCCTAAGTCTTGATTTCTTCATCTGTACAATGGGGCTCAAATAGCATCTGTTTTATAGGGTTATTGAGAGAATAAGAGATAATGCGTTTAAAGCCCTTTATTCTCAGTATTTTAAAAAATTGATTTCAGAAAGGGAGAGGGAGAGATAAATAGAAAAAACAATGATGAGAGAGAATCATCGACTGCCTCCTGCATGCCTCCTACTGGGGATTGAGTCCCAACCCGGGCATGTGCCCTGACAGAGAATCAAACTGTGATATCCTGGTTCATGAGTCAACACTCAACCACTGAGCCACACTAGCCGGGCGTATAAATTTAGCTGTTCTATATTACTTTTCTCCATGTGTTTATTCTAACTATTTCTATTGATAGTAGGAGGAGCTATCGTGACTCCTATTCCCAGTATATGTTAGGCTGACCACCTGAAGAAATAATTCTGAGGAAAAACAAATCCCATCAAGGTTAAGGGTCTTCTAGTTTATTTTTATGGAAAATTAGTTATGGTCCTCTGTAAACATTTTGAGGGAAGAATAAAAAGACCTGTTATTTTGATTATAATAAAGTGAAATTTTGACAAAAATAAAAAAAAGGCTTTTCAAACTTTCACCTTTACTGGATGTATGGAACCTGCGGTATGTTTCAAGACCAGGGCATCTGTCAATGATCCTCTCTCCTACCTACTTCCTTCTTTTTTTTAAAAAAAAAAGATTAAACATGAACCTTAGAAAGTTTTCTGCTAAAATGTTCCAGCCTAGACACACTTCTGATGCCCAATGTTGAACTCACTAAGCAAGAGTGAAGGCAACATCAATGGACACAGAAATTCTAAATTTGATTTCTTTCATTTTATATTTAATCTTTATGAGTTCTAAACATTCCTGGACATGGATTTTAGTTTCATTTTTACATGGCTGTTCTTTCTAAATTGCCTTTGATACTAACCTTGCCTTCTTCAAACCTGATCATATTTCTCTAGGATAAAACAAAACTATGTAGTAGGCAGTGAACTCCTGCCATTAAGCCAGCCTGTAAGGAAACAGCCCCTGCCTTTCCTTGGGAGTCCAGCCATGGCCACACACAGGCACGGACTGCCATTGGGTGTGGCTCCTGCTTCACTTCCCTGTCAGGTTCATCACCAACAAGCCAACATATAGGATATCCTCAGAATTCTTTGATTCTATATATTTAAAGTTCTTGTTCTTTCTTTTTAAGCATCTTTCAAAGAGTGTGGATGAACCTCAGAGACAATTCATATGTTCAAGTTATTACCATATTTCCATAGTTTTATTTTACCTGTTAATTTGTCAACACATTTATTATGACTTCTCTCTGTTTTGTCTTGGCTACTAGGATTTGTTTTACATGATGCTTATTTTCAGAATTGTTTTCCTTTCCCCAGTCCCCACCAAAGGTTATTATAAACATTGTTTTCCTGAATTTCAGGGAGTTCCTACTTGCTTTTTTATGAGAAGAAAGCAAGTATGCACTGAGACCATTCAGGGCAGATCTATTAGTAGAATTTTTTTAAATTCTGATATTGTAAAAGCAAGAGATGCAGTTGATTAAAAATGTCATCAATATTAGTATGCGGTGTCTCTGGTTCCCTTCTTCATTTTCGTCATCATCTTCTTCTATATTTTAGTGTAATTTGGGGCAACTCCTGAAGTTTCTCAGTTCTATAAATCCAAAGTTACCCAGGAACATGTATATTATTGATTGTCAAGCGTCACCTGGTGGCTGTACTTCGCAATTACCTCAGATACACTTGTAAATCTTTCCTGAATGAAACCTTATGTGCATAAAATAATTCAATGCCACAGGAGCAGTTATACTAGTATTTTATAACTGACTAGATAATCAGCTATTAAGACAACCTTATGTCACATCATTCTATTTGCAACTGAATGAAACTGTACCCTTGTTCCATCATTAGTGCCACTGAATACAATAACAGAACGTTTAATAGAGCTGCAGATTAAGTGATTAGCATCACTATGTTCTCTCAGCAACATCACGCAAAGTCTTCTAGTCAAATTTAGGAACAGGTCCTGATGCCCTTGTAAATGGGCTCTGTACATTCCAAGCACTATAAAATTGCATGGGGTTATATTCATGAGCACTAATGATCATCAAGTTCCTCTATCCTATTACAAATGAGAAACTGGAGAAAGTACTTCTCAAAAAGTGATATATAAACCATATCTCTAAGTCTTTCACTCTTTCCCAGGGATTGTACTTTTAAAACAATAACAAAGTAGAATAGATTTACAAGAGAAAAAATAGGACTACTTCTGAGAATTAGAGTGCTTACATTTTAAGAGGGTATGAGTGAGAGTAGTGGTGGGTAAGGTTCTCCAAATTCCAGTATCCGCCACCCACCCCCCCCCACACACACACACACACCATCACCACCCTGCCCCGGTTGAGTCATAGGAGCACTTTGATTCAGGCAGGTGTGCGCGCACAGTCACCTGAGGTAACAGACTCTGTGATGTTCAGATTGTTTAGAGAAAGTCCCAGCGACTGCCGTGAGGACGAGGAGGATGTGCTACTTGAGGATTCTGAGGATGGCCGAGCAGGCTTAGCTGTGTTACCAGTTTCTGCCTTCAGCCGATCATTTTCAGCCTTCAGTATTTCAATTTCATTCTTTTGTGAAGATGGGAAACATGAAAAAAAATTGAATAGGTTTGATTGAGAAAATGGTATCATCTCTTTTATCAGAGTTCATTAGATTGTTTACTAAATAAAGCATGCGGTCATATCCTATATAATAAAAGGCTAATATGCAAATCGACGGAACAGCTGAACGACCGGTCACTATGATGCGCACTGACCACCAGGGGGCAGACACTCAATGCAGGAGCTGCCCCCTGGTGGTCAGTGCGCTCTCACAGGGGGAGCACCGCTCAGCCAGAAGCCGGGCTCAGGGCTGGTGAGTGCAGCAGTGATGGCAGGATCCTCTCTGGCCTTGGCAGCAGTGCTAAGGACTCCTCAGGGAATGTCCGACTGAGGGGAGCGGGCCTAAGCCATCAGTCGGACATCCCCCGAGGGCTCCTGGACTGTGAGAGGGCGTGGGCTCCTGAGGGCACGAATTTTACCCACTGGGCCTCTAGTGTTAAATAAACAAATATAAATTATGAAAACAGACTTTCTCCCAAAAAAGGAGAAGTAATATTTTCTTGTCTCTCACATTCATATATTCAAAAATATAGACACACTACCCATTATAATTTCAATAATTATTTTTTTAATATATCAGATGTTTTCAGGATATGGCCTCATTTGAGAATACTATAATTGAAGACTTCATAACATTTCTCTTTTTGATTTTTATCTCTTTTTTACATTTCTCATTTTAAAAGTACTGTTAAAATCTCATAGCAGATGACATTTGTAACATTCCAAATTCACAGAGTTGAAAATCAGAGCAAAATAATGCAAATAAGGTGATTTCAAATTACTTCAGAATCCTGGCTAACATCTGAAAAAGTTTTTGTTCCTTCAAAATGGGGGCACGAGGCTCTCTAAAACAACAAAAGGCTTTTGATGAATGTACACAGCGGCAGATGAATCTGCTCAGCAATGAGCTTTTCTCCCTCAGTCATCTGCGGTAGCAAGTGATTACTGGTTCACAATAATAAAATAGAAACTTAGTCTGAGCACAGACTGAGTCTAAATTTAGCCCTCAGATGCTTCAAAAAAAATACAAAAGCTTTACTTTTACAGATGGCATTCGACATCACTTTTACTTTCAGATTTAGAAAGCTTGAGTTATATTTCTATAGTTTTCTCATTACTTTTGTTTTTCAGTAGAAAATAGGTAAAGGTATTTGAAAGTCAGATTTCAAAAGAGCAGGAAAAAAATCCAACATAAAGGCAAATCACGGAAAAGTGAAGAAGCAAGGATTATAGCTGTCTCTAAAATCTTAGCTGCCAAGTGCATCCAATCACCTGTAAGTGTATTGAATGGTCTGTGTGTGCAACTGACCAGTTTGTTTTCCCACTTCCAGCATCCGAGATTTCTCCGTTTGATAATAAAAAATAAGTTACAAAGATTGAATAAACAGAGTACATTTCCATAAAGAGGTGTGCGGTGAGATTTGTTTTTGTAAATAACTGAGAGACGGAAGTAAGCAGTATTGTCCATCCCTCCACGCGTTCCTTGCATCAGCACTGACCTGCATCCGGTTCATGGCCTCCCGGATCTGATCGAGGTGATGAGCCGAGCTGAGGGCCTCCAGCCGAATGTCTGTTAATTTTAATTCCTTTTCTCTGAGCTCACTCTTCAGCTGCAGAATGATCTCTGCCTCAGCCTCAGTGCATTCACAGATGCTGAAAAAGGAAACAAACACAAATTGGTGGTTGGGGGAAGCCAGAGGGTTAGGAAAAGCAATGTTTCTCTTGAAGACTGGACTGTAATGTTAACCAGCAGGGACAGAAATTATTTGCTGCTGGGAAAACCTAGAGAAAAGGAGAAAGGGTTTTACACACAGTAATACAGTCATGGGTTCACAACTGGAAATAGGAACTATCTTTTTCTTTAATCTTCTCTTCCTATTTTCTGAAGTATGAAAACAGTCTATTATTACTGTATATAAAGTGACCCTCAAAAGCCTCTTGTTGCTGAAATTTATGGGCTGCAGAGCCATAGTGATATTACATTTCATTCTACCCTTTTCCAAGGGACTGAACTCTCTATTTGCAACATATGAAATATTCTTTTTAAAGAAAAGTTATTATGTTCTTAAAATGTTGATTTCTTGTTTTATAAAATTGTGCAAAGAATAACCTTATTTGCCATAATACCATCTTCAAGTTACCATGAAAATTCAATATACAGATTGTAGGAAATAAATCAGAGAGATTAGTTTTGAACATGGAAATAATGGATGAGTGTTATATAATCCTCCTGCTAGCCTCAGCTGACTCAGGGGATCACAGCTAATGAAGCTAAATCACAGATTTCAGCCCATAAAAGCAGGCTCATCGAGGGCTGCTGAAAGGTCATATACATTACATCCTCATTGTTGTTCTGTTACTGTTTTGTGGACACCTTTGTAGAAAATATGTCAAAAGAATTTGTTTTGCAGCTGATATCCCTGTCATTTAAAATGTGAGAACTAGGTTGCTGATCATAAAATCTTAGTGTGTTCTTCCTTCCTCTGTGAGTTATGAAGTTTTACAGGATGCACAAGTGTCTTACATGGTCCTTAGTGGCCCTGTTCTATATAATTCTAGGCTAGTCATTGTCATGGGCATATAAGGAATTCTGATTTAAATGATATATGAAACAAAGAGGAGCATCAGAGCACGTTTGTATAGTCTGCATTCTATCTTGTAAATTCAAGTGGTGGGCTACGATAAAAATGCTACGCTGGATTATCTCATACAATTAAAGAGAATAGATTGCGGTTTGGCTTTAGGAAACAAAATTTTGCTTCAAAACCAGAAAAACAGGAGGTTTCAATTGTTGAAATGCATGCGAGTAGTTTTAGAAAAAGCAAAAGCAAACACCGTCTAGGTTAGAACCTGGCTCTTTGCAGTTTTCATGCATCACACTCCATTTTACCGGGATCTATGCTTGTAGATGACAGGGCCATTGCGACGTTTCTTTGGTGGCCAGACAAGGGGTGACCTGCATTTAACGCACAGTTAGACAGATCCATGGACAGGTGCAAGTGAAAAGAAGTGAGAATAACTTAGAAAAGTGGAGAATGAGACCAAGAAACACTCAAATTCTAATAGACGAAACGATTGAAACAAACGCTGTCTGGCATTCTAAGGAGGCTCTGAAAAAGGCTGGTGAGGAGATGGTGTGGCAGCACAACCTGATGACCTTTAGAACACAAGTATGGGCTAGGCCTGAAGTTGGGTAAAAAATGTTCAGCATTCTGCAGAGGGAGTGACTTACGCTGAGGCTGACTGCGAGGGCTTCATGGATGCCGACCCACCGTCACCAGTGTTGTGGGGCAACTTGGGGGATGCTGGAAGAGATGAGTCTGTGAGCTCTTCAATGTCCGAATGTGAGGAAGGAGGCTTGGTGGACTTTTTCTTCCCAAAGGCTTGTTTGAATGAGCTTCTCAGCTGAAAAAAGGACAGAAATTACCTTTCTTGTCTATTTGCACTTGGAGAATTTTGCTTTGGGGCGTTAGTTTGCAGGTGCCATCCTAGCCACTGCCTGGGGTCAGTATGTAAAAGCAGAGTATTAACAGTTGCAGCACAGTATCTCTAAAAAAAAAGATACCATGTTTTGTGTTTTTGTTTTATTCTTGTATTAATCCAGCGTAGCGCAAACATGGAAGGCTTTTAAATAGTGCAGGGTCAAGGGCATGGCTGTCAGAGCACTCATTTAAAACTAAGTACCTTGAAGGGATTTCATTCCCAATGATTCTCTCTTCAAGGCAATTTGTTTTAAATGGCCACTTTGGCGCTACAATCAAGTCATGTCCTGCTGACAGTATAAACTTAAAAAGCAAAATTAAATCAAATTCACCTAACACTTCATTAACTGTGGTTTTCTATTCAAATTTTCAATTCCCATACTATTTAAAATCAGAATCGGTATCCCCTACAGCTCTATTCAGAAAATGGTTTTACTTCTTCTTTTTAAAATTTGAGATTAAAGTGAAAAGACACAAAGGAAAGACATACAAGGTAATCTGCTTTTAAAGGGTATAAAAGCCTACTGCCAAAATAAATAGCATTCATGCCAAGGTAGGGTGTTTTATATAGATGCATGCCAAATTGCCCACAGTTTATATTCACCTCACTTCCTCTAGAGTTCACCTTGCAGAAACATGAAAGAGTGTGTAATTACAAATCAAGGGAATGAAGGCTGATCAGTATTTTAAAATATTACCTGCATAAACATTTTTTAAAACAAAAAAAAGATATTTCTCTCATTATTCATAGAAGGTACTCCAGGAAAATCTTCTGAGAGTTATATTTTAGATTCCATCAAGAGTTGTACTTATTTAAAATCGGCTGTGTTTCATGGCATTAAGCGAAATCCTTTACTTCATTGTTTTTAAACATTTTTGCAATGATAGCATCTTCCCCTCAGTTATTTTAAGAAATTGCTTAATATTATCATAAATAATATCTCTTGCAAACTAGTTCTGTTAAAGTGCATTTCCATATCCCTGCTATATTCTCCTGCTAAAAAATAAAGCAGACATTAATGTAGTTGATTTCTTACACGGTGAAACTTTATTCAAATGAAAAACCCTATTGATGTGACGAGTGGGGAGACTTTCATGGTCTCTTCTTTCCCTTTTATCAACTCCATTTCTTCTCTTTCTCCATCACCATCATCATCATCAATGTCATCACCATCACCATCATCATCACCACCATAATCGTCATCATTGTCATCACTACCACCATTACCATCATCACCATCATCACCACTATAATCATCATCATCACCATCATCTTTTTCTTCTCCTTCTGCACAATAAATCCCTACACTAAGTCATCTATTTACAGATGTTATTTTTATTCACAACAACTTTACAAAGTCAGTATTACTCATCCTATTTTTACAGATGAGAATACTTAGGCCCCACAAAAGGTGAAGTAATCAGCCTGAGATTAAAAAAAAAGTGGCAGAGCAGGAATTCAAACCCAAGTTTAGTCCCAAATCTAAAACATGCTCTTCAGCACCATGCCACCCTAACCTTGGTGACGAGTGCAGCATTTGAGGAGCTAGTCACTGAATGAGACTCTTTATAAACTGCTGCACATCTCTAAAGCCCCAAAGGATAAAAAGCCTGACTCACTGTGCAACAATGAGCCTCAGAGTGCCATGACTGAAGAGAGCTTACCCAGTTTTTCTTTTTCTTTTTCTTGGAGTCAGCATCATTACCACTGCCAATGCTGGAATGGCTGGTGGCACTGTTGATACTAGAAACGCTTTCAGAGGAGTGCTGCCTTCTGATGCGGAGATCTAGCAACAGATAGAGAGGATCACATTTGCTCATGAAAAGTTAATAATTCCAAACAAATTAGAATTTAGGTTTTCTGAGAGGCATTCTGCTAATAAAAGTCAACATAGCTTTGTAAGATCATTTATAAGTTTAATAGAATGCAACCATATTTAATTTAATTAACTGGCTTATCTGCATTAAGGTTTAATAAGCATCTCATATAAGTTTCCAGCACTGGTGGTTTAATGAGTGCTGAGTTTTGTCCAAAAATGAAATGCTATGCTAGCGATTCTACTCAATACCTGGATCAAACTGCACTTCCAAAACAATTTATTTCAAATGATTAGTTTCATGGAGTCAATGGAAACTCATAATAGCATAGGAATTAATTGTGTCTTTTTAGTATTTGTGCTTTGAATAAAGTTACTGAAGTCAAATATATTAACTGTCCATTTCATAGAATCATACCATGTTAGAGCCAAAACAAATCTTGGCCGTCATCTAAGCACTTCAGCTCACAGGTGAGGAACTGAAGTGCAAGGAAGTTAAGTAACTGGACAAAGTGGGAGAGACACTGAGAGAAAGAGCCTTAAGAGACAGAGAATGTGTAGACGGCATTTGTGAATTACCCAGAAAACATTCCATCTTACCCCTAACCTCTGCTGATGATTTGGAACAATAGTAACAGTAACAATAACACCAGGTAATTATAAAGCTGGCTTTTATGCTGTACTTACTCTGTCCTGGGAACTTCTAATTGTAATCTTTACATAAACCGCTGAAGTGAATTGAATCAGTTAATGTAATTTTCTCTTAGTCACTCAGCTGAAAACCAGGGAAGCCAACCAGAGACCTGGATTGATTCTAATGTCTGGTGTACTAACTGCCATCTATCTATACTAATAATAGAGGGATATGCAAATTGTCCAGGACATCATCACAATAACAGTAACAACCTAACAGCAGGCTGCATGGGGCAACAAGGGTGGCAGGGGGGGTTAGTGAGAAACAACCAAACGACTGAACAGCAGGCTGCATGGGGCAACCAGGCCGGCAGGGGGGTTAGTGAGGGATGACCAAACGACTGAACAGCAGGTTGCATGGGGCAACCAGGCCGGCAGGGGGGGTGCAGTTGGGGGCAACCAGGCCGGCGGAGGGAAGAAGTTGGGGGTGACCAGGCCGGCAGGGGGGGGGGGAAATGAGAGGTGACCAGGCTGGCAGGCAGGGGGGCAGTCAGACTGGTGGGGGGGGCAGTTGGGGGTGACCAAGCCGGCAGAGGGGGGCAGTAAGGGGCAACCAGGCCAGCGGGCATGGGGGGGGCAGTTAGGGGCGATCAGGCCGGCAGGCAGGTGAACAGTTAGGAGCCAGCGGTCCCGGATTGTGAGAGGGATGTCCAATTACCGGTTTAGGCCCAATCCCTGGGCCTAAACCAGCAGTCGGACATCCCCCAAGGGGTCCCCAATTGGAGAGGGTGCAGGCTGGGCTGAGGGGACCCCCCCTGTGCACGAATTTCATGCACCGGGCCTCTAGTGTATTTCTAAAAAGCATGTGGTACTTCTTGAGTTACATATTTTAAGGAGGATAGTATTTTATATTTAATCTCTTTTTGAAGATATTGACTTACTCTATACAAACAGCTTACAAGACTTATTTATACTTATTAAAATAAAAAAATTATCTACTTACAGTGACTTGATATTAATTATTATTGGAGACATAAAGAGCTTAAAAATATTTTTAAGGTCAAATCTGCTTTTAGGCTATTTCTATTACTCTATTTAATTGGCATCAATAAAGATTAATCAAGCAAAAAATCACAATGGAAGATATTGCAAATTACTATATGGCTTTCAAAACTTTGCCATAGAAATAATAGTAGAAAATCACAGATTTTCAGTTGATTGATTTATCAGTAAAATGATCCATGCCAATAAAACTGTAACTGGTTACTTTAAAAATATAATAAATAAGTATACATGTGGGCATATATGTAAACATGTCTCCATCCTTACACTTATATACATATATATCAATAAGTGGTTTAATTTTTCCTTTAATATAATAACATGCTGACACATTTTATACAGGGGGAAAAACTAGAGCAACTTTTCAGGTTTGGTCTCTTAAAAGTATCTGTAAAAATAATGATAACATTTACTGTTTTTGCATGCCAATAATATTATCAAAGCAAAAAGCTAAACCAAGGTATATAGATGTGTGCCATTTTCATTCAATAATAAGAACATGATATCTCTGAACTAATATGGAGGTTAGATGAATAATAGATAGAAAAATGTGTGTAGGTATTTATTTGTATTATAAATTTCTTCTGCAGTTGTCTATAAGTTTTTCTGAACAAGATGTAGTTTTGCCCTAATAAATGACTTTCACAAAGAGAGAAGATGTATTAAGCATGAAAGTATCCAGAGTTTTTATTACATCCAGATAATAAATTGTATTTGACTTTTATTAATCCTCAATTTTAAAAAGATAGGTAAATTCTTGTAATCAGAGGTCAAAAGTAGTCCTGAGAGGTATTAGTTATGCTCAACTGTGACTATATTTCCAATAAAGATTAACAAAGGCATACTTTCAATAATATCATAGGATGAAGGTAATGCATTTTACCTTTCTCTAACAATTCCTTTCTTGGGCTTATAAGTATTTGATTCAGTACATGGAACATCACAGAACTAGGCAAAGAATGGCTGACTAAACGAATACAAGAATCTGAATGAATGGAGAAGCTTACTCTCAAGCAGGTATGTGTTTGTTCTGGTATTCATTTTCCACTTCCCACCCTTTGCATCACCACTGTCCCAGTTCAAACCACAATCATCACTTACCTGCTCGACAGCAAGAATACCTGTTCAACTTATGCACCTTCAAGCCATTCTTTTTTTTTCTTTATTGATTAAGGTATTACATATGTGTCCTTATCCCTCCATTGTCCTCCCAACCCCCCACTCATGCCCTCACTGCCCTGGTATCTGTATCCATTAGTTAGGCTTATAGGCATGCATACAAGTCCTTTGGTTGATCTCTCCCCCTTGCCCCCACCCTCCCTTACCTTCCCTCTGAGGTTTTATGGTCTGATAGATGCTCCTCTGTCTCTGGATCTGTTTTTGTTTATCAGTTTATGTTGTTCATTATATTCCACAAATGAGTGAGATCATGTGATATTTATCTTTCTCTGACTGGCTTGTTTTGCTGAAGATGAGGGGTCTCCAGTTCCATCCATGGTAAGAATTCCTTCTTTTTTTATCGCAGGATACCATTCTACAAACAGTAGCTGGGAAATCTTTTTAAAAGAAAAACTTCATCATCACTCCCTCACTTAAGACTTTTCAATAGATTCCCATTTTAATAGGAATAAAAATAATTTAGATTCCTAAATATGGCCTAAAAGTCCCTCAGTAATCTGGTCAGTACGTATTCTCCATTCTGGTTCTATTCGCTTTATATCTTTGCTCATTACCCTTCCTTGTATTAATTTCATAAGGGCACTAAAATCTATTTTCTGTCTCAAGACCCTTCTTGAATATTCCTCTCTCATTTTAAAATATGACTTGGTACTTACTCCTTGGATCTCTCACTTGTTGCTAATTAGAGAGGCCTTTCCTGCAGTAGGTTTCCTGGTGCCCTCACTCTCTCTGACACCTATTCTCTTCTATTTTAGAACTTAGAACTACTTGGGCATGCACATTAGCTACACCAGTGATCACAATTGTTCATTTTCTGCTCTCCTACAGATCAAAAATTGATGAAGACAAAGGCTATTTCTATTTTGTTTACCATTTTATAGTCAGTATCGCATGTGATTGGCGATCAATAAGTACTCGTTGAATAAATTTATTCTTATTAGTCATTCAACACAACTATGTTTGCCTGATATTTCTAAAAATTATTTACTGTTGACTGCAATTTAATACATGTTTTGTCAAATTGTACTTGGTATATTTTAAGGAAATACTATTCCATGTTTATGCACAGAGGTAGTGACTTAAAAAGCAACAGCAGGTTTTGAAAAATATAAATACAAATTTCCACTACCTTTACCTTTCAGCCTTATAGCAATTATTTAGTTATAAAATCATAATTGTTATATATAATATACATAAATTACCTTTTGTTAGAATGGATTGTGAGCCCTTGAGTACACTGGCTCTCTCTCTTTTTTTAATCTTTGTCTTTCAAGATCAAACAGAGTGCCTAATACACAGCAGATGCTCAGATAATGTTTGTGAATAAATAAATATTCTATTATAGACTATTATTTATCAGGCTTTGTTAATAAATGTGATGGACAAATATAGAGAAAGTATAAAGTTAACATAACTTTATAAATTACTATGTGATTTTACCATAGTTTGATCTGTCTATAAAAGTGCTGCCTCACTCCAAATACATAACTTAAGATTACATGTTAAATTTATTCCTGACATAAAAATCTTAAAGGTCTCAAAAACTTTATTAGATATTTAAGAAGACAAATGTATAGCCTATACAATCACCTTAATAACCCAAGAAAATATGCATAATAAGTCCAATTTACTGTGTAGTTTCTCCATACACAATTTGTGTTCATTGATTTTAATATTGAATTTTCATATCCTATATACCTATATTGAACCCTTTATAACTATTTGTGCAACTATTTGTTTTTGTCAGTTTTAAATCTTGTCAAATTATGTTTAAATCTTTTTTGACCAGTTTGTATCACTTGTATTTACTTTAGGCACCCTTTCCCCATTTTTGAGCTGAGAAATTCCTATTTTTTAATTCTAGTAGAAACATTAAGCTACCTGTTGCCTAAGATACAAGAAATCCTCCCAGAAAGTTTTACTTCAGTGACTTGCACTGTGTTGAAGAAAGGATTAAGCTTTTTAAAATCCCTTCTGGACCTATTTAGGACGTGAAGATTTAGAACATAAGCTGCTTTGTTATAGCTCTAAGATAAGCTTTAAATATGCAGTAATTTTCCATGCAGCATGTAACCAACTCCCCCACATGCAAAGTTGCTAAATTCTTAACAGAAGTAGTCTCTAGAGAACTAGTATGTCTCACTTTATATGATTGTTTTCCTAAAATTTAAATTATGTTTTAAAAATTATATCCTTTTCTATAAAATTTGAATAAGCACCTTTCATAGGCAAGGCATCATCACAGCCACTAGGATTAAGAAAACATACCACCCTACCATAGAGCAGGAGAGGCAGTACATTAAATAAATCAGGGCATCACAGTATAATGCACATTTTGATTGGGGAAGTACAGTTATTTCAAGAAACCCATCACAACAGGACCTCATCCAGTTTAAGGGTCAAGGAGGCATATTTAGGCTAATTCTTGCAAGGTCTCAAAAAGTTTTTATGCTTCACAAACCGGGTAGAAAGTTCCAAGCAGAATATAAACAGAATATATAAAGTACTTGTGAAGAATTGGAAGATGTTCAGGGTAGGTGAAATATGAAATATGCAATCTGACAAAAAAGCAAGGTCTGGAACAGTGTCTAGCACATGATTGGTAATCAATAAATATTTATTGACTAAATGAAGCTGAAAAAGAGAGATTGTGTCAAGCTAAGGTGTTGGTATTCCATCCTAAAGGCAATATGAGATACATGTATGGAGATATATGTTGTTGGACAACTGCTCTAGCTGCAGTGTGAAGAGTGAGGTGAAGTGGTGTAAGATGAAGAGCAGGAAGGCTTTAGGAGTTTTGGTCATGATTCAGGGAGGAGATGAGGGATGTTGATAGTAGGATCAGGGAAAGGGGGAACAGATCCAAGAGATAGTCAAGGGGTGGAATCAATTTGACAATTTCTTAAATGAGGAGAGGAGGATTTATATGTGACATATACTAGTAGATTTCTGGCTATAAGAAAGGTGCCATTTACCGAGGCAAGAAACACTGACGGCAAAGCAGGTGTGAGAGAGAAGATGACAATTTCAAATTTGGAGATGTCGAGTTAGAGCTGACACACAGACATCCAAAGGTAACTAAATGGAGTTCTCTCTTCGGCAACTGTACATACAGATCTGTAACTCAAGAGATGAGCCTAGATTGAAGAGATAGATTTGACAGTTGGCAACACATAAATGACAAAGCTAGAGCACTAGATGATTTTGTAGAAAATTTTAGATAGGATGGAGAGAATCATAATATAAAAAAATCATAATGGAAGAGAGTTTAGGACCGGGTCCAAAGAAATACCAACATTTAACAAATGGATACAAACAAGTGAACCTACAAGAGAAACTTTAAAGGAGATTTCAAAGAAGCAGAAGAAAAACTAGGAATGTGGATGTCATGAACATTAGGAAAAAATGTTTCAAGTAGGAAGGAATAGGCATTAGTATCAAATGCTGTTACCATGTCAAATGCAATAAGAATTTTAAGTGTTTTACTGAATTTAATGTCATATAAGTCATTATTGATCCCGAAGGGAACAATTTTGGTGGAGTGGTGAGAAGAGAAGCAACATTCCAGTGGTCTGAGTGTGACTGGCTGCTGAAGACATTGAAAAATTCCATAAAAATTTCCCAGAATTGCCCTAACTGGTTTGGCTCAGTGGATAGAGCATCGGCCTGCGGACTGAAAGGTCCCAGGTTCGATTCTAGTCGAGGGCATGTACTTTGGTTGCGGGCACATCCCCAGTGGGAGGTGTGCAGGAGGCAGCTGATCGATGTTTCTCTCTCATTGATATTTCTAACTCTCTCTCTTTCTCCCTTCCTCTCTGTAAAAAATCAATAAAATATATTTTTAAAAAAATTTCCCAGAATTAATCTGGAAATAGGAAGAGAGATGATAGGCATTCAGAATTTAGGTAAAGAGGTAAGCATACTGAATGCTATTGAAAAGAGTTGGAATGTGCATAAGAGGAATTTATGTAAAAAAGGAATAAGATATTAATATAGAGCATTTTTTTCAGTTATAGGCAATATTTCCATCAGGAGCTCATCACAGGTGGTGGCAGAGAAAATGATTGCATCATTGTTTAGAATTGTTGCTGCATAGTAATAATGAAAAACACCAACTTTCAGTCATTGTCTTACTGTTTTAAAATTCTCTACAAAAGTGTACATTTTTACTGCCCTTACCTCCCAGATGAGTTGCTCCCCCTAAACCCACTACTTTGTACTTTGATTTTATTTTTTATATAGATCTAGATTTTCATACTCCTTACTGGGTTTATTTTGCTTGAGGTCAGATATAAATGCATTAACCAATCACTCATCCCCACCTTCACCAAATCAAGTGAAGAGACATGTGTATATAACTATAGAAGCTAATTCTTTAAGGTCAGTTTAAAAATTATTTGACAGTGAAAGCCCCTCTTAAATTCTGAGATTCGGACTACATTAATACCAAATATTCATTATAAAAAAAAAGTCACTGAGTAAAAGCAGCTTTTATCCAATTAGTAAATAAAGGACTAATGTATTGGATGCAAAATGGCAATATTTCTAACTATACCTTTAGGAGGGTGATCTGGACCATTTAGGGCTCCCTGGATGGCAGCCTGGGCAGCAGAATTCTGGGCCTTCAGCATTTCAATGGTTTCTCTTAGTTCTATGAGTTCAGACTCCTGTGAAACAAACAGTTTAGAAGCTTTAATCCCTAGAAAGAAAAGTAAACTGTCCCTGTTGTTCAAAATTCACCATCCAATGGGTTTGATTTTATGTCGTGCTAATGCCCTGGGAGATATGGATATTTGGCTCACCTTGTCAAGTTGTATTTGACAACCTATTACTTAGTTAAATGTAAAGGAGAATTAAAAATTTTTCTTGGTTATTTTCTTATAAATATGATCTGAATAGTCCTTATTCTTTTCAAAGGGTGGCACCAGAGCTGAACAGTACAACATAAAGCATGATATCACATTGCTTATTTTATACCAAACGTATTCATTCAATCTGTGGTCAAACTGCATAGTTAAATATCAGTATGTTCTGGTGCACCATATTGCATTTACTGTCAACTAGAAATCCCACGTTTTTGTCAAATAAGTGATTTTAGATTTTGCCCCCTGTATTTAGCACTTGGGGGATGGATTCTTTATATTCAAGTATAAAACATGGAACTCATTCATAACTCATTCCTATTAAATGCAATCTTATTAAATTATTCTGGCATATTCAAGACCACTTTAAATTTTGATACTTTTCATCCAATAAAATTCCTTATATGGAGACCAAATTTCACCAAGCCCAAAAACATAGGAATTTTTAAAAAGTGAATAAAAATACATGTATTAGACAGTCCTTATAAATAGTTAAATTACAAAAAAAGTTTAGAAATCAAATTTTTATAAAACATCTATTTTTCATTGAACTTAGGTAATTTTAAGATATGGCCCAAGGGAAATCCCTGGATAAATTTAATCTTTCACATTTGTTTAAGTAAATTTATTTTACCAGATATGATACACCATGAGAAAGATAACAAAGAAAAAAAAGAATGAGAGTGCTTTTTCAGCATAGGCAGTATTTCCATCTGGAGCTCAAAAACAAGAAGTATCCTTCTTGGCAGTGATGGCAATCCTAAAAATTAGAATTCCTGTCAGCCTCTTAGAGGGAGGATTCCTTGATGATGTATTTGTCATTCATCATTTTCTCTAGCATCTCTGGCAGAATCAGTCTTGGGTTCTTCATCCCAAGGTAAATAGTTTATCCCTACTCAAGGCTTCCCAGAGTATACAAAAAAGGTAGGATTATGACAACTGCCTTTGAAGGAAACTGCTACATACACGGGAATGTCAGTGATGATTCTAACCTTACACACTTACAAAAAAAGATAGACGATGCTAATTGAAATGAGACCCAGGTTTGGAATAGATACCTGGTGCCTCCTATATCTATTTTCATTAGATATCTGACATATTCCTAACAGATGACAGATTAAAAAACACACCCTTTTATAGACCTCTAATAGCTTAAAAGTCAAAGAATGTCATAATGAAAAATCAATACAACCTCCTGGATTTGTAGAGGGATCTTCCAACACTTGACTGTAATTTCATTTGTATTTGTTTATCAAAAAGAAAAGATCATGTTTGTGGAAAGTTTCCAACGTCATACACAAAATTCAGATCCAATTTATCATAATTTCTCAGTCTCTCCAAGTTCTGTCTATATTCTGTCCTTGCCCAACAAGTAACAGAATGTTTACCAAAATGTAATTTACTTTTCTTTAAAATAAATCTTCCAATAGATAAAATGTTTACTTAAAATTCATTCTGCATTCAGAAATTTATTCACAAAAAGATATCTATGGTGCATATTTAATGAATCACATAATTAAAATAGTAATGTTATAACCATGCATTAAACATCAATAGAAATCAGATTTTCATTCTTGAATTTAGAATCAATAGTGCTTGTATTGTGAATTAAAAATCTGCTAGAACATTGGTTTTAGGTTTAAATAGGAAAAATAGAAATGGGATCTTATGCAAATGTCTAAACATTTTTGCTTAATTTTATGAGTTAGCTGACTTATTTCAATGTCAATGTTTTGAAAAGATTAGAAATAGAATGTTCAGGACATGTTGCTTTTTTAGAAAATTGTGTTTAAAATGAGATAGAAGAATAGTCGCTTTCTAATATTAAGTATCTTTTTTTCTTGATTTTTAAAATATATATTTATGTTGAGAGTATTACAGGTGTCCACCCTTTCCTCCATTCCCCTCCTCCACCCCATCCCACCCTGCCCCCGGCCTTCACCACCCTATTGTCTGTGTCCATGGGTAATGTATATAGGCATACAAATTTTTTGATTAATCTCTTCCCGTACTCTTCTTCCCTCCCCTCTGAGTTTTGTCAGTCTGTTCCATATTTCCATGCCTCTGCTTCTATATTATTCATCAGTTTATTTTGTTCATTAGGTTCCTTGTTTGTTTATTTTTAGATTCAATTGTTGATAGATATGTATTTATTGCCATTTTATTGTTCATATTTTTTTAAATCTTCTTTCCCCCTTCTTCTTATTAAAGAACACCCTGTAACATTTCATGTAATACTGGTTTGGTGGTGAACACCGTTACCTTTTTCTTGTCTGTGAAGCTCTTTATCTGACCTTCTATGATAATTGATAGCTTTGCTGGATAGAGTATCTTGTTTACAATAGCACATATTAGTAGACTAGTTGTTATGCAGTGTGACACAATAAACCCAAAGGAAGAATAACTAGGTAAGGACTATTCTTTATATAACTTGGGAAAATCACATCTGTGAAAATATTAGTCTACCAAATTCATATTAGTAAATTTTTAGGATAGCTTTATAAGTATAAATAAGCACTTATTTCATCCTCTTTAATTAAATATATAATGAAGTTCTACATTGAAAATCTTTTCTAGCCTGAACTAGTTCTCTCTCCATATGTGCAAAAATTCCTTCCTTCTTTCTTATTTCAGTAGAGACCCATTTAGACTTCACTCCAACTAGAACCATATTTCTCTTTCCATATGATTTCCCATCTTTGCTTTAAATATCCTTCCTCACTCTTAAAGGCCAAGTGGTATTTTAAAACCTGAGAATCAAAAAAAAATTCATTTATCTACAATGAACCATTCAAGATAATGATGCCCCAAAACCCACTGACTATGTAAGACTCCAGTTTCCCATTAGAATTTCTTGTGTAAAAGAAGCTGGATTGAGTCAGTGCCTCTCCTGTTTTATATGTATCTCTGAGGCTAAATTATGAAAGCCAGACTTGAAATGCTTCAAAAAAATGATAAAACATTATGTTATAACACTAGCCTTGCTTAGTGTTCCCACCTAATGTCCTTACCATACCTGACCTCTTTGTAAGTCTCTCCTGGTCACAGGCCTTGTTGAGTATCCCACAAGCTTGGCAACAAATCTCTCATCAACCAACTTGACAACTTCTAGGCTAGGATCTTAAAAATTTCTACTAAACCTGTCTTTCACTTCCTCACATTGACACTCAGTTATTATCACACTATCAAGCTGTAGTTCTTTTGAATATATCACACTCCCCCACCCCTTTATATGTGGCTTAAAATCATGAATTTTTCTACGGAAAGAACCTGGCTAGCCCTGGTTCTAACTAAATAAACAAAATTCACCAAATCTCAGTAAAGTAACTGGAATCAATAAATATCTTATAGATTCAAATCATGCTAGTGAATATATTTTATGACCCTAGTAATCAAATTTTAAAAACGCTTCAAGATAAAAAAAAAGTATTTTAACCTGAACTTGTAGGAGTTAACATCAAGATCCATTTTAACTACTAAATTTTTAGTGTCTACATGATCTGTTTCCATAGACTTCGCTTTGGATTTTCGCATTTTTAAGGTTTAAGTTTCTATTTGTCTAGTCGCCCTGAAAAAGTGGTTTCACAGAGATGTAAGAAAGAACAAACCCTAGATGTTCTAGTTGCCATAAGGATCAATATCTGAGCTCCATCACTCTGACTTTTGAACGAGACTAACCTAGCCCACCTTAATATATGTTCTAGTTATCCCTGGAACAACAGCTATAGGGAACTGATTTGAAAGTCTTCTGATTATGAGGAGAGCTTTAGTAATTTCACAAGGATTTAGCAGTAGTTCTGTAAAAACATAGATTTGTAAATCATGAAAATACAGATTTGCAGAATCTGTGCCGTTTTGTTGACTTGTATTTCAGCCTTTCTCAACTGGCATTCTATAAGAAAACAAAGCTCCAAACAACAATTCGACTGCCATTTTTTTCAAATCTGACAAAAATGGTACATAGCTATACCCATCCAGATACAGAGAAAAGAAGTCATTCCATCTCATAAACATCTCAGGGCATTTGGTCTTACTTCTCTGAAAGAATCTTAGAATTTGTAGTCCAGGTAAATCCTTGATCAAACTATGTCACTATCACAATATGTTGAGCCTTACTTTTAGGGCAATTCCTAAAGATAATTTCACACACCAGCTAGCATCATTAACAAATACCCTACTATTGGACTTGCAATTATGTAACATGTGGTCTTCTAGTGGCTACAGGTTATGCTGTTAAACTATTGGGAAATACTGCTAAGTTGATTTTCACTAACTTTTATCACGTTAGTCCACTGTCAAAAACCTTTGAATGGCTCCTTATTCCCAAAAGACCAGATTCTTATATATTTTCCTAGCCTTAGTTCCACATTTTCCTCCACATTCCTACTTTTTTCCTTAATGTCTCCAATAATTTCCCTCGTGGCTGCTCATGCTCATGGTGCTCCTTCCTCTACGACTTCCAGTCCTCCATTTCCTCGGGTTAATTTTTTCATCCTCCCAGAACCTGACAAGGCTCCCCTGCCACTTCTGCTCTGAAACCCGCATGAAGGTGCAAAGGTCCCCTGTAAGAACGCTCAGGTTTCTATTCTGTTGTATTCTAACTGTCTCCCAAACATTCTGCCTCCTGAATTATTCATGCATGTGCTTTTCTTTCTTACCAGGATGTAAGTCTCTAAAAGCAGTGTTCAGGCACCTAACAGGAAAAGCATGAAAATCAGTCTGATTTGGCTTTTGGAAACAAGGAATGATTTTAGGACACTATTGAAGGGAGTGTTTTAGGTCCATACAGGGAACTAAAATTTTGATATAGTTTTCAGACTATTAATGACAGCTGATTGTGAAAATCATGCTTTAGAGCCATAATAAGCCAGAAGACTTGGCCTTGAATCCTAGTTTAATCTCTCTATTAAGTATGGAACTAAGAGCATGTAACCACCTTGGCCTTTTGTTTTTAAATTGATTTGAGAGGGGCGGGGAGAGAGAAGGAGAGAGAAAGGGAGAAACTTCAATTTGTCGTTCCACTTATTTATGCATTCATTGGTTGATTCTTGTATGTGTCCTGACTGAGGATAGAACCAGAAACCTTGGTATATTGGGCCACATTCTAACCAACTGAGCTACCTGGCCAGGACCTGCCTTTTTTTCTTTATATATTAGCATCCTACCTTGCTTCCCAATGTGCTCATTCTCACTTTTAAATTTTTCAGTGGTGCTTATCTTCACCTAAAATCCCATGTTTTAACTATAGTTTTATTTAGTGTGTTACCTACTAGAATAAAAATCTATTTTACATTATAGTGTGTGTGTGTGCGCGTGCGCGTGCACACACACACATACTGAATTCTTAGAAGCTAGAACAGTTCCTCATATAGAGTAGAAATTCAGTACAACTGGGGTGAATGGCTAAATGGACACTGAACACACCATAGAACACCAGGAACTGCTCTGAATTCTCTAATCTTTTCCTCGGGATTGTTGGGTCACCAGAGAGCAATAGACCCTTTTATCTCAGCTCCCTGAAGAAATGGCTTTACTGAAATGTGATTAAATGTTATGCCCTCAGCTTTTAGAGAAATGCCTATTTGAACAGTGATTTTGTCTTTTGTTATTCCATGACCTCAATTTGAAAAACTTTACAATACATTTGTTCTTGAATTCAGTGCCACAAAGTTTATCTCCTCGATCTAAATTATGTTCTGCTCAGAGAATGAGAACTGAACTTGCCCAGCAGTCTTGCTTTGTGCCTTCGTGTCCCTGATGTTCATTTCAGTTCAGTGCTTGGGGCGGTAATTATACAGGCTCGGGCATCTTGTTAGGTACATCCCTCCACTGGATTTCACTAGATTCTGTCACTGAATTGTGCTACAGCATATTGCAATGAATTTTATAAGAATATCAAAACCATTTGGAAATAGGCAAGTTATAAATCTCAGATTACTAACATGGTTACTAACATGTGTGTGTACAGATTTCAATTAGAGAAGAGCCATCAGTTAAAAAAATGGCAAGGGCAATTTCACACATTATTGTATCTTCTGAGAAAATTGAATAGATTTACTTTATCCTTACTTTAAGGATAATGGGTGCATAAATTATAAAATTCCTTGTTTTGTGGAGATATATTTTAAAATATCCAGGCATTAGTCATAGGCATTATAAATTAACAGACCAGCATATCTTCCCCCAATTTCTACGAGATATTTACTTACAAATAAAAAAGAGTTGAAAGAAATATGGGGGCAAAAATATATTAATTTGAACTTCTTCAAGATTTCCAGCAATCTGCCTGGCATATGACCAATGGTGAGTTTGTTTCTCTTACACGTTTAAAAGGGAAAAAGCAGAGAAATGTAAAAGAAGGTAACCTTTGTTGATTGTCCACTGCATGTGACATTATTATAGTATCTCTTATTCCTCCTAATTCTTCTGCAAAGTAGTTGTTTAAGCCCCAATTTAAAATGATGACTGTGAGGGTCAGAAAAGGAAGATTCCACTGAGATTCACACCCAAGCCTCTTGGGCTCTGAGGTTTCCATTCTTTCCCATTCGGGTGTCCTGAAAGGCCCTCGTAATTATGTTTGCTGACTTCTTAGGTTACACAGTGAAGAGGTAAATGGTAACCCCCATCCAAAAAAGATTAAGACACCATTTATGTCTTAAAAAGGACTTTGTTATCTTCCCTTGCAGATCAGGTTTGACAGGGATGGACAGAGTTCTCTTTCATGGGCAGGAGAAAGCTATGAAATAGGAGAAAGGAAGATAAGGGCAAATAGAATACAGTTTGCTAATTATAGCAGGCAATTATAGGACTATTTGATTTTCTCTTTTGGTTTAATTGGGCTCTTCAGTTCCGTGTGTGTGTGTGTGTGTGTGTGTGTGTGTGTGTGTGTTTTAACTTTACTATAACACACTTTATAGGACTAAAGACAAAATAGAAGGCATCCGTGTAGATAGATATAGAGATTCTGGAAATATCCAAAACCTTTTAGATTATGAATCTCTTTGAGCATTAGATGAAAACTGTAGACATCTGCTTACATTATACACACATGCAGTTTTAAAAAACATTTTCATACAATTTGAGAAACTTCACGTATCTCTGACACCCATCCAGACTCAGGTTAGGGCCACCACGCTAATGGCAGAGTAAGTTACTGGTCATCAAATAGAAAGTGTCCAGGCTGTTTCTAGGAAGCATGTAAATGTTGATCCTTCTGCTTTTGTGAACAAAATTCTGTGTTTCTTCCTTTTTAGAATTCCTTTTTCTAATTCATAAAATCCTTCATGTTTATTTTTTAAGCTTTTGGTATATTTAATTTTACTTAAAAGACAGCATCCCCAGGTGCCAACTAGTCCTTTTGTACGAAAAAAAATTACACAGGATTGTCCCTTGTCCCATAGGAGCTGTAACCTAAAGCCCTTAGAATTCTAACACCTGTTCCAGGCCTTCTTCGTGTGTATCTCAGCCACAGGCCTTCTGCATGACATTTGTGAAAATTCTTGTCAGAGTGCAATTTTATCAACTGCATAACAAATTGTGCCTAAAATAGTCTAACTAGTCTAACTCTCCTCCTCTACATTTATTTATCTTTCTTAATAGCTGAAATAGTTAATAATAGTTGTAACTTAATAGTTACAGTCAGAGTTAAAACAATAGATCCCCTAGAAAGAACTGCATGTGTGTGCATATGTGTGTGTGTGTTCCAATATGGATTAATCTGAATCAAAAATCCTTAGGTGAAAATATGCAAAGGCTTTACCTTGTCATTGCTCCAATTTATCACAGGATGGATGTTCTGCAGTATTTTTTTTTAAGGAGCAACATCTCAGGTAATAGGTTTAAACATCCTATGCACCTTGCCGTCTTATTGTAAGCCTCAGTGGCAATTCCTGGACATACCTTTTGTTCCGCTGTCATGGTAAGACTTTGCAGTCGGCCAGTCATATTCCCTAAACTCTTTTCAAAAGCTGCCACAAGGTGAGCCTGTGAACAAAACGGAAGGAACACATGTTCAATGTCAGAACCCTATGTGGATGGATGACAATGCTTCACTCTACAACATGCTTCATTTCAGGCATTCTGACTCCTGAAGCACCACGGCCATCATAGTTAGCTTCCAATGGCCCCTCTCCGTTAACACAAATCTCCACCTCTCAGGTTAACATCCTCAGCTTAAAACCAGGGTTTCAGTCACTTGACATTTCATGTGAGTTCACCTTCGGAAGGCATTTTGCAAATAATGACATCTTCTACCTCGCCCATCGTGGAGGATTTGACACGTCAAATACTGAATAGAGTTCTGAGTTGCCAAGCTTTTAGACTGAAATCCCAAGCGGAGGTCAATGGACAAATGGCCTTCATTTTTGTACCTGAGTGATGACCTTTGAAGATATTGTTAGCTCCTGGATTATAATGACACTCTCCTTTCAGTGTCAGGCATCTGCTGACAGCTACACCATTATCTTTCCTTTGTCTACTTACAAAGATTTGAATCGAAAAGAGTTGTCTTGACTTTCCGAATTCTTTTCAATAAAAGGGCTTTTATTTCTACTTTTTCCTTTCAACTACGGAAGAGCAGGTAGGCCAGCTAGAAGTAATAATCAGTTCTATTTTATTTAACATTAAGTTTTGGTAGCTTTGCGGTTTTATTTTAAATCTCAGAGAATTATACCTATTACAGCAGATAACCAGAAGTCGTATGATTAAGTGTTTGACAATCTTATTACAGCTCTAAAATAGGCCAGTTTTTATTCACACGCCATTTTGCAACAGCTTGACCCACAAAATATTAAGCATGAGGAGGTGCTGCAATCTTCACTGTGGCGTGAGGCAGAACTCCAGGTATGTTATCTCAAACTGATCAATTTTATAGTATGTCCACTTAAAGCAGTGGTTCTCAACCTTCCTAAGGCCGCGACCCTTTAATACAGTTCCTCATGTTGTGGTGACCCCCAACCATAAAATTATTTTCGTTGCTACTTCATAACTGTAATTTTGCTACTGTTATGAATCATAATGTAAATATCTGATATGCAGGATGTATTTTCATTGTTACAAATTGAGCATAATTAAAGCATAGTGATTAATCACAAACAAATATGTAATTATATATGTGTTTTCCGATGGTTTTAGGCGACCCCTGTGAAAGGGTCGTTCGACCCCCAAAGGGAACCGCTGACTTAAAGGGATACAACCTACATCTCTAATAAACTATGTGTGCGAGGACATTTATCAATCCTTGCCTAAGATTAATTTTTTGAGGGAAGGAAGTGAGAGGACTCTCACCACATCACCTTGTAACTCCAGCAGAGCTGAAAAGCCGAGGTACCTATTATCAAATCGATCACGGGAGTTCCAAGAATTAGGGCACTACAAGTTTATTCCAGCATTAGTAAGAGCTAGACTTTTATTCCATTATTGGCAACAGCTAGATTGCACAAGTCCCTTCCATTAGCATCATGATACAAAGGTATCTTTGTTCCGAGCTCTAAATTTATCCTGGGCAGCCTTTCTTTTCCTGATGCTGTAATATAGAGAGAGATAACTTGGAGACAGCACGCCTATTCATCTTCAGCCCATCAGTACGATTCTTTATTCTTTTCTGACCCCTCCTCTCAGTGCCACCCTTCCCCTTCTCTCAAACCCACACATTTGGAGAATTATACTAAAAGTTTGTTAGCAGACTTAATGGGATAAACAACACTTTTTTAAAAAAAAACTGACTTCAGACAGAGGAGGGGAAAGAGACAGAGGGAGAAAAACATCAATGTGAAAGAGAAACATCCACCAGTTGCCTCTCACATGCACCCCAACCCTTATCAAATCAGACACCTTTTAGTGTACGGGACTATGCTCCAACCAGCTGAGCCACACAGGCCAGGGCAGGGTAAATAACACTTTTTAAAACAGGAGTATTATCTTATAGTTTAAAATGCTTTCAATGGCAGGGAACGTCATTACATCAGACTTAGTACTCTCAGAAATTAACATAAGGTCATGTCCCAATTTTTTCTATTCTTAACCTTTTCTAAGTTGTAAAGATATGTATAAAGTGAACAAAAATGAAGATGTGAGGCTCTGGTTTATCACATAGTAAACACTCATGCACTCACTAGTCCAATCAAGAGATAGGACAGCTGAAGGCCCTAGAAGTCCTCCCCTGCCCCTCCCCCACTCCCGTCTCCTCTCCTTTCCCCAGAGATAACTGTTGTAACATTTGTAGTAATTATTTCTTGCTTCTCTTTATAGTGTTACTACATAAGCTTACAACCCTAAAACTGTGTTTTAGCTTTGCCTATTTTGAAAATACTCAAGTAGAATCAAAAGATAGGATTTTTGTGTGTGACTGCTTTCCTTAACATTGTGTTTTTCAGAATCATCCATGTGGTGTGTAGGAGTTAGATTATGCTGAAAGCATTGCTCTCTGTAATTTGTAATACCTTTGTCCATGATAATCTGTGCTGATTTCAGTTTAGACTATTGGAAATAATCTGTGACCCTGCAATGGGTTACTGTATCATAAAACTAATATTGCTTGTTTTATTTTAAAATACTGAAAATTCTGGCAGAATAACTTTGTTAACATTTACTAAAAGAAATGCACGATTCTACTTAATATTGCAAAGTTTTAATTCTCCCTAAGAATTGTAAGTTTGAATTGTTGGACTGTGAGTCCTTACATATATAAACTTGAAGTGAATTCCTTTACTTTGTGCATATTTTATCAGTTCAACAGGTGTTAAAAATATGACAAAGAAAGCAAGGCTATGAAGAATATGCTGTACAAATATATTGCTTATATTTTGGAGCTGTGAGTAAATAAATATAAAATATTCACCATGAGAATGTCAGTTTTCAGTCTTTGGAAAATTGCTCTTCATTAATTATTCACAAGAAAACTAGTTACAAAAGAACATTTTGAGTCATATTGTTCTCAATGAAAATATGTTAAAAGTATGTTAGTGAAATATTGCTTTAAATTTATATGGCTTTGGCTTAATGTATCATGTCAATTTTGTTACTTTGAATGTATAGAAGATTAAATTTCTCACCAAATTTTTATTATTGGATTAATAAAAAGGGAGAACATGAAGTAAATAGGGGAAACCATTTCTACCAGGGATGATTTTTTTTTCACTTTAATGGAGAGAATATAGAAAATAAAACTGATTAAACTACAGGAAAATATATTTTGTCTGAAAAAGTATAAAATGATGACTTTTTTAAAATTGTGGATTTTTAGGAGGGTTGTTAATCATAGTTTACTTGGTTCTGGCTTTTCTTTTAGCAGTTGCATAATTTTCAAGCCAGAGTAAAATTTTCTCAATATGATGATGAATGTGCCCCTACTCATGTTTGGTAGAGTCTGTCAAGGTAATAAATTAGACAAGACTAACTATTAGTTAAGGGAAGGAGATAACACCTACTATCTTTAGTTTGGAAAACACACAACATAATCAGAATAGACATGTAAAGAGAATCATCGTGCTACCAAATAATGAGAAGAAATATCATTATGAAAAATGCATGCATTGCATTTGTTCATTTAGAATTCAGTGACAGTCTGTCAACCAAATAAAAGTACTTTATACACATATTAATATGAGGATGAATGGACAGATACATAAGACTTTACATTTGAAAATCCATTGTTATATGAGCTGAAAATGACTCTGAAGCTATCATAAATAAGGTTTCACTTTTTTTTTTTACTATATATAATCGGCCCTTCACTGTTTGTCATGGTTGATATGTGCAAAATAGTTTTATCTTAAAGGAGATGTAGGAAAGCGAGAGTAACTGGCAGGATATATAAAACTATTAAATAGAGCAAAGAAATAGGACAAAATTCCAAAACAAAATAATACCCAAGAGATTTTTATGTAAAAGACTTACATGTTGAAAGGCAAAAGAAAGTACATTCAGTATCGTCTGTGAAAAATGGTAGTAATAACTAGCATGAGTGCTTATTTCCAAATTCTCTAAGGGCTGAGATGTGTAAAGACAATATATTAAAACACAGATGCATCCCACCTGACTTGGCTGCATGAAGGGGTGGGCGAGAGGCGAGAGGGCCCCTGGCTGACTGTACGATGTGACCACACATCTGCAGCTGCCTTTGCTTCTGGGGCTCCTGTTTTCTTTCTGTTCCTTGGTGGGGTATTGATTCAGGGAAGGCCAGGCAATAGCTCTTGTCAACAAGCCGGCTCTGCCTTCTACAGACATCCTAGTAGATTAGCTTTACAAAGAGTCTTGCCAGGGCTTTATTGCAGCTCTGTTCAGAGAACTTCTCAAGTGGGCGGGGAGGTCAGTGCACATTCTACTGAATGGAGGTTAGACTCTGCCAGTCAAAGGAGAGGTGAGCTCATAGGATCCCTTTCTGCCTGACCACCGCCCCTTTTAACAAAGGGGTAAAACGCATTTTACTAAGGAGCAAATTTCAAGTAAAGGAGTAAGATTCAAGTTTAAATGTGAAAACAGGGATTATTATGTGGACTCCACATAAATGTAGTCATACCCAGTCCAAACAGGTGATACATCAATTATAAAACATACCCCAAAAATGAAGGAAAAAAGTTTACTTGTAGTCTGAATAAACTAATAAATAAAAGGTTTATATCTACCCCTAAATAGGAACTTCACAAGATTAAAAAAAAAAGACTTGGACTTACGTTGAGGAAATTCTACATAGGAATATTTTATTCAGTTTTATGATTAATTCCTGGGCATGTATATTAAAAAATATATGTATATGTTATTTACATCAATGGATATTAATTCAGGGGCAACTAAGTAAAACATTCTGAATGAAATTTAAATGTAGTAGTTTTGCTTAGAACTGATAAAAAATTGAGTGTTAACTTAATTCTTTCATAATTCATTATGGACTATGGAAATCTAAAATGTCATTTTAATAAAGCAAACATTAAAGTTCAACATGACTTGTGTAAAAAGGTAACCTGTGAATAATTCAAATTTCTAAA